ACAATTGCTATTTAAAAAGAATGAAGATGTATTTATGTGTTTACGTGTATGAGTATCTTGCCTATATGTATACATATGCAACATGTATGTGCCTTGTATCCTTCAACGTCAGAAGAGGGCTTCAGATTCCCTGAACTGGAGTTACATATGGTCACATCCAGGTCTTCTACAAGAGCAACAAGTGTTCTTAACCACCGAGCCATTTCTCTAGCCCAGCAATTGCTGTTTCTACTGGACAAAGTAACATCATTGGGAAAATAACCACTAAGTTTGTCATTTTCAATAGAGCCGGAGGACCTGAGTTTAGTTCCCAAACACACATCTGGTAGCTCATAACCACCCATAACTCCAGCTCTAGAGGATCAGTCACCCTCTTCTGGTCTCCATAGGCCCACCACACCATCGGTACCCACAAACACATGTGCATAAATAAGTCTTTAAAGAATTTTCATTAGGCGTCAAAAATTTGTTATGGAAAGCTGTTGGTGAATAGGGTGCCCATATACCAACTAAAGTGCCTCTTAAGATTATCTGTTGATTAATGAAGGGAAAAACAACCTTTATACTGGAGAAATTGTCAGATAATCAAGTACCCTGTTTACCATAATGATGGAACAAAGTGACACCGGAAACATCACCTGCCTGGTGATGTATTAAAGACAATATAATCAGTGCTCTTGTTTTATAAATACAAAAACAATGTGTTTTCATGTGAAAAAACCACAAATCCAAAATAAGGACATTCTGAAAAGTCAATGGACTGGATTCTTCAATAATATCAATGTTATAGAAGACAAAAAAAAAAAAGAGTGGGTGGGAAATTGTCCTAGATTAAAGGAGATTAACCCAAGGTGTAAATTAAATGTGAACTTTGACTGGATTTTGAATTTGTCCTCTCTAACAAGAATGAGAGAAACGAAAAACAAAGGACGTCAAAGGCTCTAACAGTAAATACGCATTGGCTGTCAGCGAACAGTGCTGTATATAGACACGAGTCCTAAGAGACAGATGCTAAAATGTTTATGGGTGAAATGGCACAATGTCTTCAAATTAATTACTAAGACCTGAATTTCTGTATTTGGTTAAGAAATTGTATTGCCATGGAGTTATAGGCCAGATGAAACAAGTAAGTGCCTTTCTACACAGTGAAGAAGCAGGCTGGGTCATCGCTGTACTAGGTAGCTTGTAGAACCCTAAGTGTCCTGCGTTTGTGGGGTTCAGGTATAGGAAGAGTTGACACTTAAGGGCTCATGTGCGTAGGCCCTATGTGCCTCATCCTTCCATGCTATTTGCAGCGCCTCAGCAGCATGTGAGACCCTGCATGCTTTAAGGCAGAGGCACGCAAACTGCAGCTGACTGTTGCTGCATCAGAGTCAGCTGCGAGGATGGCATTCTGTGCTCTTATGGTTGGCTGACGGCTTATTGGCACTCCTCTAACTGAGGCGACTATGGCGGGGGTCGTAACACTAGCGCAGGAAAGTGAATATGCGAAGACCAAGGAGTTCTGGGATTACATAACCAGAACCCACTTCTGGGGTCCTGTGGACAAATGGGGCACCTCCCGACGTCATCAGTGGCCGCATGACAACAGCGCTCATCTTCTACTCCATGCTTTCATGTGCTTTGCCTACTGGGTCCAACCTCGAAATGACCTGCTGATGGTGTGTCACTTTTCCAATGTGGTGGCACAGAGCATTCAGGCCAGCCATTACTTGATGTACCACTACGGTAGCAGGGCCAGGCCAGTAACCCTTTGGCCAAACAAGCTTCATGACTGGGAGGGGTAGCTTGACCCAGACTTTGTAGCTTGCAAGCGCTGAACTCTATTCTTCCTAAAGAAAGGCCAAGGAAAACTTTGATACAGACTCTAAAACAGTGCAAACTCGATTTAAACCTGCAGTTTGGTTAATTTTTTTTCTCGAGACAGGGTTTCTCTGTATTGTTTTGGAGGCTGTCCCGGAACTTGCTCTGTAGACCAGGTTGGCCTAGAACTCACAGAGATCCACCTGCCTCTGCCTCTCAAGTTCTAATGTATGCCACCAACGCCTGGAGTTAATTTTTAAAAAAGAAAAAAGCACCAAACTGATCTTGAGTGTTGCCTGTTTTGTGAACTGTGTGGAGAATGGTTTCCCAGGTACACTCAGGGTTAGACAAGGGAGAAAGATAGGAGGAAAACCAAAACATCCACTCGTAGCTTACTAAAAAAACCAAAACCAAACCGAAAAACCTCTCTAGGGAACAGGCTTTTTGGTGCCACAGATGACTTACTCAAATTTGGTAGTGAGACAAATCCCTATACAAAGGAGGGTAGGGTGGGGGGACTGTTTCTGGAGAGGGAAACATTTAGATTTAGGTCTAAATGTAGTGAAATTCCAGTTTAGATTTTCAAATACTTAAGAGTCTAGTGTCTCTTTGTGACCTGGAGCAACTACGGAAGCTGAAATGAAGATGGGGTAAAGGACTCAAGATGGTTGCTGTCAGTTCTTAGAGTTTTAGGGAAACATGCCCAAATCATAGTTCTTTCCATTTCTCCTTTAAAGTGGAAAATCACGCCCAAAGGATTGAAAACTAGCTGGGGGGAGGGGGGCACGAGAGTCACTGGTCAGCAGCAGTGGCTCAGAGCATCCCCTAGGAATTCTCTGCGTGCCTATGTCTTAAACCAGAGAGCTTGTAAAGAGGGGAGAAAGATGGAGGTTGGGTGTGGTGATATATAATTTATGATTTATTAAAGCTTGCCTGAGGATTCGGAATGCAAAGTCAGGCACAGTCATAGAAGCCAGGCACACACCTTTAATCCCAGGACTCAGGATTAAGAGGTAGACAGATCTCTGTGAGTCCAAGGCCACCCAGATTTATACAAGATTGATCCAGTCCTAAAGAGAAACAGCTCACACAAAGATGATCCCAGCATTAGGGAAGTATATAAGGTCTCAGTATCAGGCATTCATTCTCCAGCCTCACTGAGAATGGGGATGCCCCAGCCCTGTTAGAACTCTCTGGTATCTTGGCTACTTTGTTTCTCGGAACTTCAGGTTGAACCCCAATATCTGTCTCTGGGTCTTTTATTAATTCATGTTACAGTTGGGAGGTGAGATTATTATCATTAGGGCAGGTTGTCCTCTGGGATTTGATCCTTGCCCAGGATTATACTGAACACAGGAAGGCCTAGGTACTTTCTGGGAGAAGTGCTGAACCTGCTTCTGATAAAGTTTGCAAATGCAAAAAAAAAAAATTAAAAACACTTCTGCAAGGTTCTGAGGCTATCAGCTGTTGGCTAAGACAGGCCTAACAGTGGAACTCCAGGAAAAGTTCTCATCTTGTGCAGCATCCAAGCATTAGTTTTGTTGTGGGAAGTCCCTTTCCCATTCTAAATATGAGGGTGGAGGGTAGGGAACAAATTATAGGACAGGGTATCAGTTGCTATATAACCAACCAGCCCATAACTTAACAGCTCAAAACAAACCCTGTCTCACAGTTGTGAGGTCTCTGAAGCATAGCCTGTGGCTGGAATATCTATTTCCAGGTTCACCGTTTTTGCAGGCTTCAGTTTCTTATTCTCCTGCAGACATCTCCAAAAGACTGCTCATGACACAACATGGCTTCCTCCACAGTGGCATTTGCAAAGGATGGAAGAAGGAAGTCTTCCTCTGTTGCAGCTTAATCATGCACTGATGCATCATCACCTTTGCTGTGTTCACAAACCAACCCTGGTTCACTGTGGAATAGCTGACAGGAATCACCAGCGGTCACCTTTGGAGGCTGGCCTGCCACATAGGTTCTGAAATGAAAACTGCCATGCTTTTCTGATAGTATCAAGTAACAGAGATGTACCTCGAAAAGAGCTGCCACAAAGTGCCCAGTTTATAGAGTTCTATGCTCATTACTAATGTGCATACATCAGAGCATGGGTTTGAGAAGTTTCTGGAAGTTAAAAGTAGCTCTTAATAGTGTAGGTAACTCAGACTACATTGCAATAATACAAACTCAGTCCTTAAGGTTACAAAGTGAACTATATTAAAATTTTTATTAAAACAATAAAGGTCATTTTTTACTTCACAGGAGTAGAAATTAATATTTTAGGCATGTCTCACAAAGTGTATTTTGTAACATGAATATATTTTAATGAATGCCACTGTCGAGTGAAGGCTCTTCAGAGCAGGTAAGTTTCTAATTAATCTGGCAAAGGAAAAGGAGGTAATGTCTGCTGATAATTTCCTATCAGTGCAGTTAGAACTTAGAGGGCAAATGCTTAGAGACATGATCTACAAGACTGAAATACTCTACTCTACTCTGATGCAGCACTCAGCTCATTTACCAATTCTAACATGTCCACCTAGGTCAGCTAGCCCTGTATTACCTACGATACTAGTGTTTAAAGCCATGCTAAGTAACAAATACATCAATGAAACCCAACTCCCAATTACTAGAGTAACAATCATTTCATAATTCTCCCAGGCAGAATCCTCTTGACCTTAGGAATGTAACCATCTCCAGAGCTCTCCCACTGCTTTAGGAAGCCAGAAACCCTCTTAAATTTAGCAGAGCTAGTTTTCTATTAGGACTAGCCACCAACACCTTAAGTCGGTTCCTAGAATTCAAGTGTTTTTACAGAGTTGAATATGTCACATTTTCTTCAAGTTCTCTGAACTCCCTGATAAAGAAAAGGCTCAAGCTAAGGACCACCTTACCTTTGCAACTATGATTCAGTCATTTTTCTCTACAAATTCTGTCAAAACTATCAACCACCTGAGTCCCAGGGAGAGGTTGAGTACAAGCCATACTTTGGGATGGAGACAGGTACTCCCCAGGGCGATGAAGGCAGCCTAGGCAGAAGGCAATGCCCTTCCTGAACTTCCTTTCCTGGTGCTAGGATTCAGAAGCACCCCTGGAGGTGCAGCGACAAAAAGGAGGCTACAACAAAATACATGCAATCTGATATAGAAGGCTTGCAATATGTTGCTCGTGTGCCTTGTTTTGAAATTAACAACTGTGATAAAAAGTTTCAAAATGAGTGCATGTTTATTATAAAACCAATATACAAAATACAAAAGCTGAATTCCTTCCGACTACTCCCCATAGACCCAATTCCTCTGGGATATAATGCAACAGAGAGACTTGGAAAAAAGGCTTTCCAGGCCTCAGTTATTATACAATCCAAACAGCATTTTAGCATGCTAGGTATTATTAAGCACCTTGCTTCTCCATTTATCTGCATTTGGCAGTGGAGTAGGGATCTAATTCAAGGCATCATGCATGCTGGGCAAGCAAGTGCCCCACCGCTGATCTCCCCCCTCAGCCTTTTCTTTACTTTAGATGCCTTATAGGTAATTCACATTACTGCAGCATGGGCTCATTCTTTTTTTTTTCCTCGAGACAGGGTTTCTCTGTGGCTTTGGAATTAGCTCTTGTAGACCAGGCACATCTGGAACTCACAGAAATCCGCCTGCCTCTGCATCCCAAATGCTGGGATTAAAGGCGTGGCCACCACCACCCGGCGGGCTCATTCTTTCTAACAATTACATGGCATAGTACATAGTGCAGAAGTTCTACGCCGTATTTAGCAGGTCCTCTCTACTAGTGGCTAGGTATCAACGTTGTGGTGAGCATCCATTTGTACATACCCTCTACCCAGATGCAGTTCTGTTGAAGAGATGGCTAGAGGCTAATGCCTCAGTAGAGGCCACACTTGCTTTAGAGCCCTTAAAATAAGAGTCTTCCTTCTGTTTCAATGCAACAAAACGTTACTAATATAAAGTTTTCTAAACAATACTCTTGATTTATCACAGTGGAAGATTTACATTTGTATCTTGCACAGGGTTGACATTTGGTAAGTATGTGCTAGATTGATAAAGACAAACTTTAGAAACCAGGTCTTCATGGGTTAGTGAATCAAGCTTTTATGTTTTGTACCTCAGATCTTGAAGGAAGAGATATTTCATTACAGTTTTTTTTTTGCTTTGGCAATGTTGCAAAATAAATGCAAAATCTTGTTTTCCTCTTGAAGCCTTCTCAAGGAACTTGAGAAGAGAAAAAAATGAAAGGAGAAAGAAAACATAAGACTGAAAAAACAAAAAGCAACCAGGAAATGAAATAACCAAGCTACAGGCACATTTGGGTTCTAAAGTCAAAATACATGCCAAATACAGTCTCTCTCTCTCACTCCACCCAGTCTGCAGAGTCCAACTTGGGCAGGCAGCTGACCAGGAGAAGGAGCAATCTCATCCTTGCTGAGTGTTGGCATGGAACATTTCTTCTAGGCAGTTTGAGAGCACAGCAAAGTCTGGAGGTGACACGAAGCAGTCTAATGGAATTACCTTGGGAATGAGCAGATGGAGGGAAAGGAAGAAGTTAATTTGACTCCCACAGAACACTGCAGACAATGGTATAAGGCTTCCACACAGGTGGGGGTGCATCGGCTGGGAATGAATCTATGAATATGTTCAAAGAGAATGAATTGTTTGAATATCTGTAAGAATGATGAAATTTCTCATTTTACAGAGTGAGAGCTAAGCTAAGACTATAATAAGTAGCATTTCTACCAATAGTCTTGGGTCATTAGGCCTAGGCCCTGCACTTGGCACAGGGGACACAAGTATTTCAGAGGCGTTGGAACCATGGGGACTTTGCTTTGTCTTTGGGGGAAAGGAAGCTGAGGACTGACTCCAGGGTCTGACATATTAAGTAAATGTTTCACAACTGTACCACACCTCCTTATGATTTGTTTCATTTGTAGATAGGGTCTCACACAGCTGCCCTGGCTGGTCTAGAACTTGGAATCCTCTCACTGCAGCCTTCCAAGTAGCTGAGATCACAGGCATAAGCCATCTCATGCCCCATCTGTGCCCTATCCACAGCAAACTGACAACTGACCTTTTCCAGCTATCCCTTCTGGGACAGCAGCCTGGGCCTCCCTTGCATAGCTCAGTCAAGCTGTTTTCTAGCCAGCTACTGAGAGCCTGGCAATCCCTTGCCCTCTATGTCTGGCTACTTAAGCACCTTAGTAACAGTTCTACACTCAGAGGGAAATGGTAGGAAGTGGCCACTTCTCTCTTGCCTTTATAACTAAAGTTTTTCTATTTGGACACTTACATCCAAGTTCACTCTTTGGCACTGTCAGAGTGAAACTTCCAGGCAGAAGAGGGGGTACAGTACACCTCTGCCAGGGGCAGAACACTCCCTCACACAGACCTACTCCTCACCATGTAAAAATCTATAGTTTAGGACCAGAGAGACTCTTACCTTAGAAACAGCACAAAGTCCCTGGGTGGTAGCAAAAAAACAACACAAGACTAGTCTGTTTTGACTGTATACATCACACAACTCCAAAGCGATGAATATAGGAAAAAAAGGGAAAGAAAAAGAGAGGGGGGGAGACAAAGGAAGGAAGGAAGGAAGGAAGAAATCTCTGAAGCATCATGGGAAAGACCAGGACAACAAAAACCCCTATGTTTTGGAAATATTTCCATTTTACAGAGAGGAGGAAGCCTGCCCTGAAGTCAGGCTGACTTGCCTGAAATTTGTCAAAGCACAATGTAAACTAAAAGAGAATTATTTGCATTTTTATTATTTGGCAAAAATAAATGAAACAGTTACTTACATTAACCAGCTTTCTTATGGACTCTAGTCAGGCACAATGAATGCCAGAGTAAAAGCTGGGCACTCTAGCATCATCTGAAGACAGAATGGTTTCTGACTATGTTATAAATAGTATGTTGGTTCACCTAAGAGCAGACCTTGACTTCTGTATATGAGGCTGACATGCTACAGAGAGTTGAGGCTTTACAGGTATGTGAGCCATTAATGAGAAAATAAACAAAGGAAGGTCCCCTGTCCTTCCTTTGGTAAAGTTTGCATGTTTCTTTATTTCAAGATAGGGTTTCTCTGTGTAGTCCTAGCTGTCCTGGAACTCAATATGTTGATCAGGCTGGCCTCAAACTCACAGAAACTCCACCTGCCTCTGCCTCCCAGACGCTGAGGTTAAAGGTGTGCACCACCATACCCAACCTTCATTTGGAATAGTAAGGGCACAGGGAAAGCAAGTGAGACTGTTGGTTCAATGTGGCTTCACATAAGAAAACAAACATCAAAGGGATGTTAACCATCCTGAATGTAAACTCACCTCAAGCCTCTCCTTCAGGTGCCTGTCTCTCATCGGCCTCTGAAACTTCTTTTTGATGCTGTAGATGGAGGCTGTCTAGCTTCTGCATGTCTTCTGAAAGGCCATTTCTGAGATCTGCATTGTTTTTCAGAAACGCTTTCACCACACCCAGTCGATTTGCGATCTGCAAGAGGAAGGCGTACAGTGTTGCTCAGGCTCATTTTTACAACAGAGTTCCCTTCAGATGGAACTCTGAGTAGTTCCGAGACTGGCTCCCAAGGCTGGAGCTGGAGCTCAGCAGCAGGAGCATGCCCCTCAACAACCTGCTCCTGTCTAAATGTCTACCAGGAGACAGAAACACCAACCAGTGGCACCCAGGCACACACAGGTTAAATCTGCAAACCAAAAACAAATTCTTTTTTTTAATTGTTTTTGTTTTGTTTTATTTTCGAGACAGGGGTCTCTGTGGCTTTGGAGATTGTCCTGGAACTCACTCTGTAGACCAGGCTGGTCTCCAACTCACAGAGATCCACCTGCCTCTGTCTCGTTAGTGCTGGAATTAAAGGTGTGCGCCACCACCGCCCAGCAAAAACAAATTCTTTAAAACAAGACACACTCATGTCGCTCGTGTGGTAGCTAAAACCTTTGTCTCAGCACTGCAGAGGCAGAGGCAGATGAATCTCTATGAGTTCAAGTCTAGCCTGCTCTACATACTGAGTTACAGACCAGCCAGAGATCATGTCTCAAAAAACCAAAACTAATAAAACAAGCTCCTTCCACTCAAACCAAACATGACCCAGTATAGCTAATTCTAAGACCACATAGAGGGTGTTTGCTTATCACCTCAACTTTTTTGCTTCAAAACTTGAATTTCTATGCAAAGTGTTCATCCTATACTTTTGAGTTTTGTGCCTATACAAGTATTACTGATAGAAGACACATCTATAAAACAGCATTAAATGTTCAGATACAAAATTCCAAGTCAACAGGGAATGAGGTTAACAAGTCAACACTCTTAAATTTGTCCCTCGTTATCCCATTCTCATCTTTACAGGTGACTATATACAAGAAGCCATCTTATTTACTTTTTTCTCTGTATAACATCTCTGGCTGTCCTACAACTTGCTTTGTAGACCAGGCTGGACTTCAACTCAGAGAGCCAACTGCCTCTGCCTCCCGAGTGCTGGGATTAAGACTGTGCCACCACCACCCAGGCTGTTATATACTTTATACCTGCCTTAAATAAAAGATCCTCCTCCTTCCTTAAGTCTCATTATTTTGTTAGATTTATTTTATGTGTACGAGTGCTTTGTCTGCATCCATGTATGTGTACTATGTGTGTGTATGATGCCTGCAGAGACCAGAAGAGGACATCATATCCCCCTGAAACTGGAGTTATAGATGGGTGCTGGAAACCAAACCTGGGTCTCCCACAAGAGCAGCCAGTACCCTAACTCTGATTTTTTTACATCTGAATAATATTCCAATTATGGAACGCCCATTTTCAACATATTCTGAACCTTTTGTTCAGAAAACCATGTGGAATTTACTGTCACACATGTGTGACTTGTACAAGTGATATTCCTGTTTATAGAAATAGAAGGTAGCTTTAACTCTGATTGAATAGAGTGCCATGTATAGAGATATACTGATTTAAATTCCCCAACAACATACTTCTCAACATTTTATCAAGCACAAAGATTCTCAGTGGCACTATGGGTGTGTCTGCACTGGGTTTATCCCAGATTGCCTTCATTGGTCCCCATGCTTATTACAAAACTACTAGGTACTATTACTATTATATTAATAGTGCTGGGGGAACCGAACACATTGTGGAATTTTTGTTTAACTAGACAAAGATGTGTTACATTTGTTTATGCTGCATTTGTTTAACTATGTAAAGATGTGTTGTATTTGCATTAATTAAAAGACCTTTTCTATGTAGAGACCTGGAGCCCTCCTTTTCCTGACTCAAACAGGCAAGCAGAGCTAGAAATGTACAGTAGCCAGTGTCTCTAAGGTAGCAGACCTGCTGCACACGGAGGGCTACACGTTTCTAACACTTATTTCCTGCTAATCCAGCATTTCCCTACTGATTTCAGGGACTAAAGTCCAAAACAGCTTGGGGTCAGTGCAGCGGCACAGAAAACCTTTCAAAACAGTTTCCCCCTGCCCTGCCACACTCCTCCATGATACCACTTGTGCTTTCTGGGCTACTACTCAGCCTTTCACATTTCTGCTAAGAACATCCATCCTCCCAGGCCAACTACTGACCTCTTCCTGCATCCTTGAGCACCTTTTCCCTTTTTTCTAGTGGGGGGGGGATCCCCCTGTGAGATGATAACCCATCAAGTATCTTGTTCCGAATTCTGTTTTAACTCTTATGTCACTATTTCACTTGGGGACAAATATTAGGTCCTTAGATATATGCTAAGTGAAAATACCTGCTAAAATATATTATCAGGCTGGGAGGTGGTGGCACGCACCTTTAACGCCAGAACTTCGAAGACAGAGGCAGGCGGATCGCTATGAGTTCGAGGCCAGCCTGGTCCACAAAGTGAGTTCCAAGACAACCAGGGCTGTTATACAGAGAAACCCTGTTTCAAAAGACCAAACTAAGCCAAATCAAACAAAGAAAACAACAAACATATGATCAGTAAACACTGGAAAAATATGTACTAGAAATCACCTGGCTCTCTGTGTCTGTCCTGACTGGAATTTTATGTCAACTTGACACATGCTAGAGTTATTTTGGAAGACAGAAAAACCCCAATTGAGAAAAAAATGTTTCCACCAAACTGGTGTGTGGGCAAGCCTATGGGGTATTTTCTTGATTAAGGATTGATGTGGAAGGGCCCAGGCCTAAATCAATGTGGGTGGTAGCATCCTGGGCATGTGGGCCTGAGTTCTCTAGGAAAGCAGGCTGAATAAGCCAAGAGGAGCAAGCCAGTAAGCAGCACCCTCCATGGCTTGCACTTCAGTCCCTGCTTCCAGGGTCCTGCCCTGCCCTCCCTCAGTGACGAAGTGCTCTTTGTCATGGTGCTTATCACAGCACTAGAAACACTATGAAAACTAGCCGCCACCGCTGCTGCCACGGCCTTTCTTCACGCATTTCCCCTTCCCTGTACCTCTTCTGGCAACATCTCTTCTGCTGCTGCTTGAAGATACATCTCTTGCAGTTTTTCCTTCAGCAATTCCATTTCAATTTCATGAATCTGGCTCACACTCAAGTGACTTCCTATTTCAAATTCACACCCATCGCGTTCATCTTCCTCAGGAATGTGCACAGCCCAGTCAGATGTCAACAGCTGTGGGGTGACCACACAGATCCATGAACAAACTATTTTCTAAAGCTTGGGTTTTAAAATATTTTGTATGAATTCTTCAAGAATTTCATACATGTACACAATGTATTTTGGTCATATTCACTCCTACTCCTCCCCAACGTCTCCTGGATTCACCTTCACATGAAAAGTTCATTCTTTTTGCTGCTGTTGTTTTGTTTCAGTTTTTCCAGACAAGGTTTCTCTGTGGCTTTGGAAGCTGTCCTGGAACTAGCTCTTGCAGACCAGGCTGTCCTGGAACTCACACAGGTCCACCTGCCTCTGCCTCCCAAGTGCTGGGATTAAAGGCGTGCGCCACCACCACGCAGCCTAATAGTTTATTCTTAAAATGCATCACTGTTTGCAGTGCTGGGGATGGCACTCAGGGACTAACTGTGATAGACAACTAACCTCTCCCCAAGCCACACCTCAGTCACTTGTATGTAATAATGGGGTGCAGGCCTGACACCCCGATCTCGTAAGTTGAAAGGAGAGAACACACTCCCAAGAGTTGTCCTCTGATCTGTGGCATGCGCACATCTGTGTATGTGTGCACACTTATGCATATCCACATAGACACACATGCACTCACATACACACAAAATAAATGAAGTACATTAACGGAAAAGAAATTCTAATGGATAACTCAAAGAGTTTATAATAAAATACCATTACCTAGACCTATTGTAACCACACACTGTTATTAAAGAAAATCTCAGCTTGTTAATTCCACATTTTATACCAATCTAAATTCTACATTTTCTACCACATTTGGGGCTGGGGCTGCAGTTCAGTGAGAAAGTACTTGCCATGTGTGAGGTCCAGGCCTAGGTTCACCCCCAAGTTGGCCTTCCAGGCAATAATAGAATAAAATAAAGACTAGTAGTGTAGTGTGCTTGCCTGGCATTCATGAGGATCTATGTGCATTATCACTAGCATCTCAACAATAATAAAGACATTTTACTTTAAATAAAGATCAAATTCATCTTTCTGTTTGAGACAGGGTCTCATTATGTAGCTCAGGCTTCCCAAGAACTTACTATGTAATAAAGGCTAGCTTTGAAATAAATATCCATACTTCTGCCTCAGTCTCCCAAGTGCTGGAATTTATGCACCACCACATCTGGCTTATCAAACTAGGCTGGTCTCGAGCTCACAGAGATCCACCTGCCTCTGCCTCCTGAGTGCTGGGATTAAAGGCCAGTACCACCACCACCCAGCTAACATCAAATTCTAAATGAATGGCTATGAATGTTTTTGACCTCTTAGGTTTGTATACCAGAACTGTTAAATGAAGTTTCAGATGGGTGTGGTGGTGTATGCCTATAATCCTATCACTTATTAAGCAAAGTAAACATGTGTGAACAACCCAGTCTACATATCAAGCTCCAAGGCCAGGTGGGGCTACAGTAATAAAAAAAGAAAACCCCAAATGACTCTATAAAGATCTTTACCTGTTCTATTCTGGAATATACTGCTATAATCTCTGGAATACTCTTGAATTCATTCAGAAAATTCTGAATCTTTATCTGAAAATCTCGAAGCCATGTAGATGATACTTTCATCTCTGAAGAGTGCATTATCTCATTCCGACATTTAATTACCTACAGAAAAACAAAAACGAAGTTGGGCTGGTATGGCTCAGTAGGTAAAGGTGCTTGTCGTGAAGCCCCAAAAGGTAAATTCAATCCCTGGAGCCCACACAGTAGAAGGCATGTGGACTGAATGAGAATGCCCCACACAGGCTTACGTGTCTGAATAGTCGGTCCTGTTAAGAGAATTGTGTAGGAAGGGTTAGGAGGTGTGTGGCACTGTTGGAGAAGGTGACTCACTGAGGTGAGGTTTTGTTGTTTCCAAACATTCAAACCACTCCCAGTGTGTTCTCTACCTCCTGCTGCAGCTCATGTTCGCGGTCAGCTGTTCCTGCTGCCATGACTTTACACCACCATCACAGCCTCTAATCTCTCACACCCAATCAAATGCTTTCTTTTATAGAAAAGTCATAATACAGAAGGAGAAAACCAACTACTCCAAGTTGTCCTTTGACTTCCATATATGCACAGTGCCATAGGCCCTCTTCCTCCTCAACAAGTGAAGAAACGTAATAAGAAAATGCAAATAAATGGCCGGTTGGTGGTGCCGTACACCTTTAATCCCAGCACTCGGGAGGCAGAGGCAGGAGGATCTTTACTACAAGAGCGAGTTCCAGGACAGCCCCTCCAAAGCCACAGAGAAACCCTGTCTCGAAAAACCAAAACCAAAAAACAATGTAAATAAGTGTCATTTATTTTAAAACCTTCTAAGTGAATAGGGTAATCTGAAACATTTTAACTCTAAAAAGAAATTACAGAAAGACTTTACTAAACTGTAACATTGAGCAGCATGGTATCCATAGGACAAGGCTTGGACATTTCATGAGACCACTGCATAATCTAGCAAGTATTTAAAATGGCAGACAATGAACCCCTCTAGCCCCTAAGTCAGACCTTTATTTTGTACCTGCCCAGAGAGCATCTATCAAGCAGCGAAGTCCCTGTTGGTCGCATACTGAAATGCTCTCAAGGGTCAGGGGACACATTAGTGAAGCTGCTTTAGAAGCAGGTAGGATGATGAAGCTAGAAGGGATTGGCATGAACTGGAGAATGGACACCCCATCTAAAGCAGCAGCTTACACTCAACTTGTGGTTTGTTGCTATGGGAGGTTTATGAACTCACTGTCACCAGGCCTTCCTATTTTCTGATTTCAAAGATAGAAGTTCAGATTTAATGACAACTAATTCAAAAGTTTTTTTTTTTAAAGTAACTAGGCAGGAACTGTCAAGATACTTCAGTAGGTAAAAGTGCTTGTCACCAAGCCTGACAACCTTTGATCCCTGGAACCCACACGATGGAGAGAACTGACTTTTAAAAGTTGTCCTCTTACAGTCACATGACCACATCTAAATATACACATATGTTTATACATACAACAAAGAAATCTATGGCACTTGGTGGTTAAGAATACTTGTTGGTCAGGCAGTGGTGGCAAATGCCTTTAATCCCAACACTCAGGAAGCAGGTGGATCTATGAATTTGAGGCCATCCTGGTTTACAAAGCTAGTCACAGGATAGCCAATGCTACACAGGGAAATCCTGTCTCACCCCCTCCTTCCCCCGCAAAAGCAAGCACTTGTTGCTCTTGCAAAGAACCTAGGTTCAATTACTAGTACTCACACGGTGTCTCACAACCTTCTGTAACTCCAGCTCCAAGAAAACTGATGCCCTTTTCTGACTTCGAGAGACACCAGGTAGGCACATGGTGCACATACATACATGTAGGCAAAACAGTCATACACATATAATAAATGTTAAAAATGACAAATATACTAATTTTGTAAATTCATATAGCACAAATAAAGAGAACTACAAGCTAGATTTTGGTATAGAATACTATCAAGTATTAAAGAATTATTCTGACACACAAATATCAATTAAGGTAGAGAAATACAAAGAAGGGGCTAGAGACGAGGCTCGGTGGTTAAGAACACTTGCTGTTCTTCTAGAGAAGCCAGGTTTGATTTCCACACTTACATGGCAGGTAACATCTGTACCTCCAGTTCAAAGGGACCTGACATCTCTTCTGGCCTCCACTGGCACTGCGTGTACATGGTACACAGACATACATGCAGACCCAGCACCCATACACAGAAAATAAAAATAAATCTCTCTAAAAAAGGAGAAACGCTGACAGTCATGGTGCCATTCAGCTTATAAAGACAGCACCTGGAGGCAAGACAATCAAGAGTTCAAGGCACACACAGTGATACCTTGTCTCAAAAAGAAAATAAACAAGAAATACAAAGAAACCTCCATCCTTAGCCCTAGAAATCATTCCCCCCAAATGGCTTTGTGTTGGCAAAATGTCAATTTGACATGAGCTTGAGTCAATTGGCAGGTGGTACATTTTCTTGATTGATGGCTGATGTGGGAGGGCCTACCTTATTGTGGGTGGTGCCACCTCGGTTACATAAACAGCATCTCTCCATGGCATCTGTATGAGCTCCTTCCCCCTGGGTTCCTGCACTGTTTGAGTTCCTGCTCTGAACTGTAAGCTAAAATGCAACCTCTCCTCCCCAGGTTGCTTTTGGTCATGGCAACTATCACAGCAACAGAAACCCTAAGAAAAATTTTTTTCCATCTTCTTTCCCCCAAATATCTTAAAACAACCTGCCAAAGAGCAAGCACATTGGTCCCAGATAAAACCTTAGGCTATAGCAGACAATACACAGGTGCGCAAAATCTTTCAAATCCCATCCAGTGCCAGGAAGCTGTGTAAGGGGAGTAAATCTGTGTAAAAGGAGATTGCTCATGTGGAAACCATGATGAAAACAAAATAAACTCTTGCCTATGAGAAAAACAATGCTATCGTATATTTAAAGACAACTCAAATAGTCTGCATTCTTGGCTAGAAGGTAGGGTCCAACCGCTACATTAAATCTTCATCTCTGGGAGGACACATCTTCAGCTGCTGCCACACTGCTCAAATAGTAACACTTTTGACCAATAATAAATAATCCAAGGCTTCTACACACTCTCTTCAAGGACCTCAGAGTTGTAAGAGTTCTGACACATGAAGAGTGATCTACCCGGACATATATTATTCATTAGTGTTTATATTTTTTCCAGTTCTACCTCATTTGATCTCACAGCTATTTTTACAGAAGGCCAGTGTTATTCTTTCTTCTTTTTTTTTTTGCTGGGGATGAGGATGGAATTTAGAGCCTTGTGTAAGCCTTACAAGTATGTTACTATTGAGTTTCACGCCTAGCCCTATATTATTATTTTTAAAGCTTTACAAGACAGGGTTTCTCTGTGTAGTTCTGGCTGTCCTGGAACTCACTCTGTAGACCATGCTGGCCTCCAACTCACAGAGATCTGCCTGTCTCTTGCCTCCTGGGTGATGGGATTAAAGACATGTGCCACCAACATGTTTTTTTGTTTTGTGTATGTCTGTTCTATGCATATGTGCATGTTCACATGTCTGTGTAGAAGCCAGATGCTGACAATGGGTGTCTTCCTCTATCACCCTCCACCTTACTTTTGAGATAGGGTCTCTCTGTAAACTTGGAGCATAGGGATTCTACTAGACAAGTTTCTGGGATCCTCCTGCATCTGCCCCTGTCCCCAGTACTGAGGTGAGAGATGTGCACCCAGTTTTTACATAGGTGCTCGGAGTCTGAACTCAGATCCTCTGCTTGCACAGCACATACTTTACTGACTGGCCCACCTCCCCAATACTTCGGGTCTATTTTTATACAGAAAACAACTTTGCTTCTATTTATGGCAGAGCAGAGAAGATAAATCTGAGCTCTATGTACTTAAGTGGCCAACAGCAGTGTTTGAATGAAAATGGCCCTCAACAGGCCCATAGGGAGCGACACTATTAGGAGGTGTAGCCCTGTTGGAGTAGGTGTGGTGTTTTTAGAGGAGTGTGTCACTGGGTGTGGGCTGAGGCTTCAGAAGGCCAGTGTTCTCTCTTCCTGCTGCCTTGGGATCCAGATGTAGAACTCTCAGCTCCTCTCCAACACCATGTCTGCGTGCATGCCGCCATGCTTCCCACCATGATAATGGACTAACCCTCTGAACTGTAAGCCAGCCCCAATCGAATGTTTCCTTTATAGGAGTTGCTGTGGTCATGGTGTCTCTTCACAGCAATCGAAACCCTAAGATACGCACAGTAACAAACTGTCAGAAAACTTTGCTTGACCACATTCACATTCAGTTCTTGGACATCACAGCAGGCACACATGACATGAGGCCCATGAGCTGTTTAGTGAGGCCAACTTGGAACTGAAGTCTTTCTTTGCCACTGCTGTTCTGAGTGCTGCTAACTTACGCCTACATGGCTGCCTTATTATCATCAGGGGAGTTTCACTCCAGCCTTCCCAGTACTGACCAGAGTGGTTGCGTGGACAGTTCTGAATCTGACAGCTCTTACCTCTGTGACTTTCTTCCGGTCAACCCTGAAGTGATCGCAGGAATTGATGAGACTTAAAAGAGCAACTGCGTCACATTCCTCAGGCCCTCGTTTGTCTGCCAGTCCTCGAGGCATGAAGGCCTATAGTAAGTAAGGGGAGGTAGTAGGTCACCCAAATGTCCTCCAACTCTGAGGGCTAGAGATGCAAAATCTTTCTCTAGTTTCCAACTGATGACTAATGTTCTCTTATTCCACGAAGTTTCAAGCTAAAACCTCATGAGTTCAAAATGCTAGTGGGGAAAATCATATCACTCTAAGCCTTGTAATTGAAGGACTGCACTATCCCTCTGCAATATTACATATAGCTGATGTAACTGGCTTTCAGTCTTCTCCTTCTGCTTTGCTTTTTTGAGACAGGGTCTACATAGTCCTGAATACCCTGCAGCTTACTATGTAAACCAGGGTGGCCTCAAACTTCTATCCATCATCATCAGAACCTGGAGTGTATACAGCCAGGCTCAAATGCCAGCTAGGCCACTGCCTTGTGGTCTTAGGTATCCAATCCCTAGTCTCTGTCAGTCCTTAGGGGTAAGTATCCTTATCCACTTCAAAGGATGGTGTGAGGAGGAAGACAGGGAGAGCACTGTGCTTAGCACATGGTATAAAGACATCAGCAGCATCAGCAATTATGACATCAATGGTGTAAGGTGAATAGGTCCCACACATGGGGTAGACAGGGAACTTAGGACTGAGACACCACACATATTGTAGCACTATCCTGCCTTTAGTTGAATCTTCTAAAATGAGTTGCACAAATGCTATAACAGCAACACTTGAATATATTTCTTTCCTGAAATATCTGCAAACTAATACCGGGATGTAGCCGGGAGTTGGTTATGAACACCCTTAATCCCAGCACTCGGGAAGCAGAGGCAGGCGGATCTCTGTGAGTTTGAGGCCAGCCTGGTCTACAGAGTAGTTCCAGCACAGCCTCCAAAGAGAGAAACCCTGTCCCTAAAAAAAAAAAATCAAACAAAAAAACAAAAACCTGGACGCAGAAACTTTATTTACCAGACTAGGAGTCTCAAGGTACATTCCTGGTACAGGAGGAGAACATCTGCTAGAGCAGGTAACACATGAAAAATTACTCTTATTTGGGAGTAGTGACACATAAAAGTCTGTGAGTTTGAGGCCAGCCTGGTCTACACAGACTTCTAGGCCAACCAAGGATACATAAAGGACTCTCTCGAAAGAAAAAAAAGAAGACATTCTCAGTGAGAGATATGTTCTACTGAAAGCAAACAATCCAGTCAGGAAGCGGCTATGAAGCTTTCTGCAGGATGCTTGTACTGGTATTCTAAAGGCTGGCAGGAAGCACAGAGAGCACCAGAGTCAAGGTTATTAAGTTCTCCAATGGAAGGAGAAACCCACAGCAGAGTCTCCCATAGCTCAGAATTCTGTGTACACACACTAACCTCAGGATCATCACAATCTTCCAGGTATATTAGGAATGCTACAGAGGTTAACAAAGAAGCTAATCTAACAGGTGGCTGATAAAAGGATATGGAAGAAAATAAAGAGCTCAATATAGCTGTTGTTGAAAGGAAAATGCAGTTAGAGGAAGCCTCGGTGCCCTAAACTGGCCCAGCTTTTCTTTTCCACTATAGAGTAGATTTTACCCAGTATGTCCTTTCTAATACAACTTGTCTTTGCCATTTTAGTTTTCTTTGGGTAATTATTTCCTCTCTTGCAGAACCAGAAACCAACAGGGAGGGGCTCTATCGCCTCCTTACAGTTCTGCACCAGCATATTCCACTCGGTAAACACGTAGCAGAGACACACCTACAGCAGCCTCTCTGCCTTCTGCTGTCTCTTCACTGTGGAGAAATGAACTATGGTGTGTGTGTGAGAGAGAGGGGGGGGGGGAGGGAGGGAGGGAGAGAAAGAGGAAGGGAGGGAGGGAGAGAAAGAGAGAAAGGGAGAGAGAAATAGTGTCAATCCATGGGAGGTCAGAGGCCTGGGATTCTGTGGTACTGGGGTTACAGGCAGTTATAAGCCACCCAACATGGGACTGACTGAGTCTCAGCTATGGCTGAGGGCCAGATCTGCCAGCAACAGAGGCCACCTAACCGTGATTTGACACTACTACCCACAAGCATTCTACAAGTTAACAAACCAATCAAACTCCTATGTGAAAGGCCATGCATCGCACTGTGTGTAGACCCATCCAGAGGTGCCAAAAACATTATAGAGGGCCATGTGGGTGGTTGCAGCTAGAAACTAGGCAAAAGGTGGAGAGCTGTGGTGTAGAGGGAGGAAGGAGAAGGACTCCAAAAACAATGGGCAGATAGGAACCCAGAGGCAGCAAGAGGGAACAAGATGAAGCAAAAACGATCCTAGGGACAGGTTGGAACTGCAGCCCTGTGGTAGAATGCTTATACAGCATGTAAACAGGAACAAGAAAAAGAGGATATTCTTGGAATGGCCCCACTGTAGAACTAAATACCAAGTTCTGAGGAGATAAAGCAGAGAGGTCAGGTAAGCAGCTGGATATGCACATCTGTAGCTCAGAAGAGTAGGCAGGGGTAGGGTCACTGCTAGAGAGGATAAGCAAAGGCAGAAGGAGAAGATGCCACAAAGGCAGGGATGTTTCAAAATAAGTGGCCAATTGAGAGTGCTGCAGGCCCCTGCATGAAGCTAAGGGCTGTGTGTAGGACACACCTGCAAAACTAGTAGTTAAGAAGTAGAGGTAGGAGGATCAAGAGGCCAACCTGGGCCACACATTGAGACTATTTCAACAAACCCAGTTTGGGGTGTAGCTCAGTGTTGAGTGTCTTCCTAGCATGTACAAGGGCTTGGGTTCCACTGCCAACCTTGGGAGGAGGAGGGAGAAGGCTGAAGAAGAGAGGTCAAAGATGCAGTATGGGGCAGGGACAGAAGCCAGGGTTGCAGGAGTTGGAAGACACACAGAAGCTAAAGAACCAAACCCTCTTTTTGAGGAAGTTCTGGGGTGATAGCTGGAAGGAATGGATTTAGAGGAACTCCTTTCCCCTCTAAACTGTATTTTCTAAGTATTTTCAAATGGTTGTAAATATAGCTCCACTAGGGTATGATATACGCCCTTGAAGTATGTAAGTCAGAGGTTTTCAGTCTGATAGTTTTTAGCAACTATCACCATCTGCTCAAAGAAACCTCATATCCATAAGCCATCACACCTCTCCTCTCTAGGCCCTAGAGCTGTTAAAACTATTCTGCCTCCACAGATGTGCCTATTCTGCACAATTCACGCTATATGACAGGTTCCAGGCTGCTTTCACTTGGCATGTTTTAAAGATTCAACCCTACTTTACGTTGCATGCTTTATTAATTTTCCCTTTTTAATGGCAAAATGCTATTCCTCTGTCTGGACTCTGTTTATCCACGCATTGCCTGGTAGATCATTGGACTGTTTTACCTTCTAGCTATTGTTTATAGTCCTGCCATGAACCCATGTGTATATATGTTTTCATTGTAGACATTTACTTTCAGATTTGGGAGTGCTCTGGTAGGAGGGGAATTAAAATTAGGGGTTCACTCATGCTAAGCAACCCATAGCCGTGATTTTTTTTATCTTATGTGTACATCTAGGAATAGAAATCTTGGATTATAGAATAATTCTGCTTAATCCTTTGGACTAGCTAGTTTTATGACAAGTTGATAAGAGACTAAATAGGTCCAAGACAGTCACAAAAAAAGGAGAGTTTGATTTCTTCCAGGTGTTTTTTTCCTGTATGCTCTAGGTAAAAGTAGAAATTGGAAACACTATTGCAACCATAAAAAACGGTGGTGGTGGTGGTGGATGGGGCTGGAAATATGGCTTAAGAGGTTAAGTGGACTTAACCACTGTTCTTCCAAAGGACTGGAGTTTGGTTCCACTCACCCATGTTAGGAGACTAACAACCACCTACTGCTCCAGTTCCAGTGGATCCAACTCCCTCTTCTGGCTCTAGTGAGCACCAGAACGAAGGTGATCTGCACTCACACATTAACATAGTAAAAAATTTTCTTGTTCTTTTTGAAACAGGGTCTCTCTAATGTAGACTAGCCATGTAGGCCAGGCTGGCCTTAAACTCAAGAGATCTTTCTGCCCCTACTTCCCAAGTGCTGGAATTTCAGGCTGGCACCACCAAGCCCAGCCCAACAGAAACTTTAAAAAAAAAAGTTTTATTTATGTGCATTGGTGTTTTGTGTATGTATGTATGTATGTATGTGGGTGGCAGATAGATACCCTGGAAATGGAGTTACAGACTGGTATGAGATGCCATGTGGGTGCTGGGAATTGAACCCAGGTCCTTAAGAAGAACAGCCACTACTCTTAAGCACTGAGCCCCCAACAGAAACTTCTAATCTTTAAAAAAATAAAAAGACTGCTAAATATGGTGGTACATATCTGTAATCCTAGGCACTTTAGGATGGTTAAGGCTAGCCTGGGTTGCATGAGACCTTGTCTTAATAAACCAGATAAAGATAAGGAGAACAGAAGGAGACCAAACATGTTAAATGCATCCCTTGCAATGCTCTGTTCCACCTGCCAATTATTTGCTTGCTTATATAATAACTCACAAACTCAATTTGTGTGCCCCTCCCTCCACTCACTTACTTAGCTTCCAGGAAATATCAAGAAATCAAAACAAATCCCCAATCAGCCCAGGCAGTAAGTCACGGTACCAAAATCTAAAGACAGGTCTAACAACCTCTACCTCATAACTCACCACATCTCCACCTCCTAAAATTTTATACCTTATCTAAGCACTCCATGGCCAAAATGAGGCTTTTAGTGAGCATACCTTAATGCACACCTTAACTGTTCTTCCACGTCCCCCGGTCTGTATCCTTTTTCCCCTTCTTTTGAGAGAAGGTCTTCAACTATACAGACCAGGATATCCCCAAACTCTCAGCAACCCTGCCTCGGCCTCTCCAGTGGTGGAATAATAGGTGTGAGCCACTGTACTCGGCTTTACTATACGTCTTGCCCCAGCATCTTGTTGAAATATTTGCTATATATAGTTTTCAAGAAACAAAGCTCAAATGCTTGCAGGAAGCAAAAAGTTACTTTACTGAGCTGGGATGGGTCCACTCTAACGACCTTTAGCCACTAGAACACTACAAGCAATCTTAGTACCTGTAGTTTGTGAAGTCCCCGCCTGCACTCACTCCACCCTCCGCCCTGGAGGAGCAGGTGATCTGCCTTCTGCTTGCCTCAGGACTGCAAATGCTTACCTTGGCTACCTCCCAAGCGTCCACGGGCCAGAGGCCAGGCTGGCAGTTTCCCCAGTGCACGTCTCCATTTCTGTTGACGTGATGCCTCAAGATCTCACGTTTCCACTCTGTGCACACCTGACACTGAGGCTGAAACTACAGAGGGCAGAGGTGAGGCATGAGGCGCGAAAGCGCAGGGCGGAGAAATAGGAACAGCCAGGGAGAGGTAAACAGCCCCGCCCCTCAAGGGAAAGAGACGAGCGCAGGGAACTGCGGACAGGCTGGGGAAAGGAGTCCCACCCTGGGCCAGCAGCTTACCTGGCGAGCACGCGGGTTGCACCGGGAACCGCCGCGGCAGATGGCGTTGGGACCAAGGCCGGGGACTGCAGCAAGCAGTCCTTGATGGAAGGAGAGCACCTCGCGGCCGATGAAGCCCTGAAGGCAGCTGCGCAGCAGCAGCAGGCAGTGTCCTGCCTTCACCCAGTTTTTGTACTCGGTGCAATTGAGACGCGCTGCCAGCTCCGACAACACCATGTCTCACGCCAGGGGTATGAAAGGAGGGGACTGGCGGCGGTACGCACGCGCAAGACCATGGGAAGCTCCCACAGCGCAAGCGTTGGCGAAGCTTCCACGCAGCGCAGGCGCAGCCCCACCCAGAAACACCCCCGAGCTCAGCGTCACTGGGTGTCTTCCTGACGCAGGCTAGAGGCTGACCATTCTCCCACATCCCGGAAGCAGCAGCTCCACTGCTTAAAGGAACAGCCAACGATTTGTGGACTTGACGCTTTTTGACGCAGCCTCTCCGATTAAAGCCCTTTTAGGCCTTAATTATCATTTTCTCAAATACCCTGCTAATACCCATCTAAACAACGGGATTCCCTCCTGATGTGCAGATTCCCGTTTGACTCCTTTATTGTAAAGATAGAGTGCTCAAGGCACGTTTCTTGAACGACATATGTTCCTTGCATTATGCAATTCTATAAAATTAACTCGTTCCTAAAGTCACAGAATAACCGCAGCGAATCCTAGACATCAATAGAATAAGCCTGCCCTCACTGCCTGAAGAGTGGGTTTATAGTGTTGTGCCCCCCAGCCCCGCCCTATGTGCTAAAGTGACACTAGAGCCAGAATCTCCATAATTGGAGCACCTGGCAGAGACAAAGGGAATAACATATTTCCTGGATTTGGAGGGAAGGCTGCACAGCCATTAGCTGAAGCCTCCAGAAAATGTACACCACGGTTATTTCAGCTGTCAGAATGCATTACACTGATAATGTCAAGTGAGAAAAAGTCATTGTTTTAGATGCTTCTAGTGAGTTTCCTGAGCTTGGAAAATATGTTGAAATTGTGTGTAACCAAAAGACCCTGAATTGAAGACTGTAAACATAGAAGACTTTCCAAGAATGCATGGTTCACAGCATAGGCAGTGTTAAGGTGCACTAGCTCTGGATTCAAACTACCAATTCTTTGTGGTTTGATCTTGGCAGATGCTAATTTTAATCATAAGGAATTATTTTACTTTGTGCCTCTGTAAGAGGGGGTTATTAATACTTACCTCACAGTGTGGTGAGGGGCATTTACACACATAGAAACACTTAGAATGGTGCTTGGCACATAGTAAGCTCTTAGTAATGCTAGCTTTCATTTTATATTTACCTAAATATACCCTTTTGTCATCAGTTACATTATTGGACAAAGAATGTTATCAAATCACTGGCCAGTTGGAAGTAGGGCCAGTTTATGAAAAACAGAGACAAGATCTGGTGATCTGGAGACTCAAAGTACAGTGACGGCAGGCATCACTTAATTTTGTCTTACTAACCTCCATATTAAACCCATCCAAAGCAAATCTAAATACCCCCTTCCCATCAAAGCAAATGAAAAATTTCACAAAACCCAATGAAATCTACAGTAACATTTTCTGACTTTTCATCATAAGTTTCTTAACATTTTTAAAAGTATAAATGTTGTATCAATAACACTTGTAAGTAGGGAGGTGGTGGGACACACCTGTCTTCCCAGTACTCAAGAGGTAGATCACTTCTAGGAGGTTCAAGGCCAGTCTGGGCAACATGGAAAAACCCTGTCGTGTTTGTTTTTGTTTTGGGTTTTTTTGTTTTTTGTTTTTGTTTTTAAAAAGAAGAAGGAGAAGGAGAAAAAGAAGAAGAAAAATTCAATTGGTATTTCTTTTGGAGGAAAAAAAACAAGTTTATGCCTATCCTTAACTCAGCTAATTTTCAAATGAGGTTCAGTGCCTGTTATTCAAAACTGGCCATACTCTGACGAAGCTTTCACTTCCCTAACTCTATACATTTCAAAATGACATTTCTGCAGATGGAAAAGGAAAGGGTGAAACAGGATCACTGTCTTCTTTAGGGTGAAATTAATACTAAACCAAGACTACAACCCAAAACATCTGCACCAAAATTAACTAGAGAGTTGGTAGTTCTCTGAAACTTGCATAAATTTTATTTATTACTGTAAATACTAAAATCACATTGAAAACACCTTAAAATAAAATTCCAACCACCTACTAGAGAAAAATTACTATGGCATCCAGTTTCTTTGATTGAACCTGGTTAACAAAAGAGGCAAAAGACATGGTTTGTGATGAAAGTTATGATTCAAATGCTAAATATTTCCAAGCTTTAATAAAGTATATACCAATTCCAAGTACCAAGCATAATATCAAAATTCAAATTCATTGGTTTACTTTTAATAAGCATCAAAATCAAATTCTGTTCATTGAATCCTATCTTAAATGATTTACACAATGCATTCAAAGGTGAGTTATAATTAGGAAAAAGTAGCCATTGAATGCATCATGTACAAAAATGCAATTAACAATTCAAAACCACACTTAAAAGAGAAAATACCTGAAAAGTTAATTCTATTAATAAAATTATTTGAAACAATATCATCCTGCAGATAAAAATACATTTCTTGTATATACATGTAGATTTCTACATGAAAGATAGGATTCAGCTCCAAATAGAAAAGGGCTGACTCCTGATCAAGACATCTTAGATTGCCAAACCCATGTGATTACCACTGTGAAGAGAACTGAAAACAGAAGAAGAAAAGGGTTAGGTTAAAGGAAGAATATAAGTTTAGTCACCTACTCTGGAATAGTGGCAGAGTTGGGTGGAAAGCAGGAGATGAAGGCAGAAATGAAACACAGAAGACAAAGAAGGAAGGCCTCAACTCTGACTGGAAATGGAGATTCAAGCAAAGTTGAGAACATATGATACCGTTGTAGTGAGATGCTTAAAACTGGAATCTGGTAGTTATAGTTATAGAAGCTCAATTAATCATAAAATGGAATCAGACAAACATCTAAAATTTCATTAAGGACCATATTACATTGACTAGATAACTCAGAATATTTTCATTTAAAAAAACACAAAGCAAAACAACAACAAAAAATGCTCCAAATAACATCAAGTCATCATTTGAATCAGATCATATTCATTGAAGTTTAAAAGTCCCTGACTGGCTTCGAGAGGCAGTACAGTACGCTAGAAAGAAATCCTATGGAGAGGTACCAGTGCTAGAAACTCCACTGGACCCTAGACAGGCCCTGTACTGTGGACTTTTTAAATGACTGGACCAGGTTGTGTCCAGCAAAATCATCCTATCATTTTGCAGACAATTAATTAAATTGAGATTGTTCAGAACAACCCAATTGTGCTGGGAAAGGTAAAAAGTTAAATAAGATAAAGAAATGTCACCAAAACTTCATGCAAACTAGAGCATTCAGTTCTTTGCTTCCTAGTTAATGCTGTATGCAGAAGTATCCATTTTCCTAGCAAAAAGGCTCCCACTTCCTTGCACATGAAAATAATTGCATTATTTGGGATCCTTGATTGTTACAAATCATTTACTGTCTCTTTTCAAAGACAAAGTTGTTTCATTTTACCCAAGTCCTATACTGAAAAACAACGGAGGTGCTAAATGTTATCACCAGTCATGTGAGGAATGTCTGAAGGAACTACATTAACCTTAAAATTGTTTTTGTTCAAATTTCAGACATATGTAATTAAAAACTGACTGGCCCCATCAAGTTAAAGATGAAGGGAGGCCCTAAGAACTCTAGAGCGCTTATACACACACAAGTGTCACTTTTATATCCTAGTTTTATTAAATATTGCTTCTTTGGGATATGTTTAACAGCTCCCAAACATTTCTGTGTAAGGATTCAAAGCGGTCATATTAAAATACAGCTTCAATATAAAGTTTGTCACAGTTTTACAGTATTCAAAAATGACAAGACCTGCCTTTAAAAAAAAAATCAAAAAAAGACCATTACACCCAAAAACATAAGAAAGCAATTAAATAAACAAGTTTGGCATTTTCATTACTTTATAGTATAAAACAGAATATTAAATCTATTACTGGCAAGCGGATACTGTTTTATTACCTAGTTTGAAATGTGTCGCATTTAAACACACTATACAAGTTCGCTATACAAAAGATTAATGGTATTTTTGATGAAAGAAGTGCACCCTGAAAAGTTTTGCCAGTTTAGAATATTTAGCTCTTAAGGTTTTTTTTTTAAAAAGTCCTTTTCCTTTTTAAAACTGATGGCTGAATTCAGCCTATTTTTTTGTGTGTGTTGTTTTTTCATTTGTCAGCCTTCCTGGGTTTAAAAACAATAGTGTCTATGGACGCCCACCAGGGGGCAGTGTAAGATTAGCCATTAAATCACGAACAGCTGCAAATATTGTGCATTCACCTGCAACAGAGAAAAATGGTCATTAGCTATTCGCAGTATAGGAGAGACGTTAACACACCGGTGAGGGGAGGGTTGGTTAAAATAAAAGACTAGGTATTTCAAACTATTCAGATCTTAGGCACTGAAATCTGGTGTAGGATAGCATATTAAATTTGTGTTGGGTTTTGTTTTTGTCTCTGGAAGAATCTAAGGCAAGTGTCAAGTCTAAACAGAGAGACAGAGAGCAAGAGCGAGAGCGAGGGAGGGAGGGAGGGAGGGAGGGAGAGAGAGACAGAGAGAGAGAGAGAGAGAGAGAGAGAGAGAGACAGATGCCTTCAGAGCATAGAAACAGTGCTGCATTGGGTAAGACTTTAAAGTCTGACTTTAGAGTTGAATGCTATAGAATGGATCTAACAACAAATTCTACGCTATATGCATTGCTTACAACTTCAGTGATGTCCAATTAATGTTGCATGAAAGGCCATATAAGAATGCCTCCAATAGGCAATAGGAATACTGTCCAAAAGAACATTCTTCGGTAAAGGGAACATGTGTGCTCTGTGGTTATCAAGCACTACTTTGGCTACAGAATTGAACATTTTCATTTTCTAAAGTTATACATTAAGACTGAAGTTAAATAAATACAAAATGTTTTGTTTTGCTTGAAAGGGAGAAAACGTTTGTTTAAATTTAAAGTTATTTTTCCCCTTTTCTTTGCTTTTTGGTTGCCACAGACAACAGTCTCACTATGTAACCCAGACAGGCTTGGAACTTACAATCCTCCTGCTTCAGCCTCCAAGTGCTGAGATTATAGGTGTAAACCATCAATGCAAGTTAAGATTTCCCTCCAAAGCTCTTCACTGTGAGAGATGGGCAAGGAAGCCTGAGCATTACATACTAAGAGTCTAGATTTGTGGTGACACCACACCCTCTCAACTTCCCCTCTGCTTCTTAGCTCTTGTAAATATTGCAAATGCTTAAATATTATAAAGCAAAACTGGATCTTTCCCACTAGAATATGTTTAGACACTACCACAGCTGAAAGGGGAGAAACCCTTGTATGAATCATGGCCTTCTGTCAAAGGGCAGGACACAGTGACTCTGTGCAACTCACTGTGAGCCTTTGCTCCAAGCACTGGAAAAGGAAGGTATAGAACAAAAGGACAAAGAAAATCCAAAGGCTTGTTCAGCCAAAGAAGGAAGGAAAAAAAGAAAGCACTCACAGAATACCATACCAATTTCTTAAAGGACTGAGGTAGGCGTGTGTGTGCACGCGTGCGCGTGTGTGCATTGCACTTGTGCGTGCGCACACAGGCACATGCATACACACTTCTTTGATACTTTTATTGATAGGTAGAAATTTTTGCTTGATCATAGTAGGATCAAAACATTTCCCTTTAATTTTTAAATTCCAAAAGATATAATACATAAAAAAACCAATAGCCGGGTCTACATGAAGGTTTTGTGTTTATCATTAGAGTTCTACTGAATTGCTACCTTGAGAATTCTAGTAGCTTTACTTTTGATTCCTGAGGACTTACTTCCAGCTGGAGAGAGAGGTAAAGGAATGAAACAGAAAACTGTCAGAAGTAAAAGTATTATAACAAATGAAGCATACTGCTCTCTAATGCCCAGTGGATTCCTTAGAAACTGAAGCAAGGACTTACCTGTAAAGAAACAGTTTAAAAAAAAAACCTCATTTTTCTCAGAATCCCTAAAATTTGACACTGTGGTACCTAAAAATGCTTCAGAGAACAGCTTTCCCCTCCTTTACCACAATTGTTTTTGTAGGCTATTCTAAAGGAAGATTGAAAGAGGACTTCCTTAGTATTTGACAGGAGTGAACATTCATTTACTTTTCTGAGTGTTAGAAATGAGCAAAATCAAAGAAAAGTTCTTTGCTGAGCTTCATGTTCTAGAACCCCAAATTTGGCATTGCCAGGAGTCACTTGTTAAGTGTGGGCTACTCCAGTATCGAAGGAACCTTATTATCGTGCAAGAAACACTGTGGTTTCTTCCGAAATGTCCAGTCTCAGAGCTTCACTGAGCACTCAGGGAAAAGGCTCACTTGCACCCACCTGACACTTACATAAGAAGCCCAAAAAGCAGTGATGCCATTTGTATCAGCTTTTATTCTTCACAAAACATTTAGAAGATACACACTTTTAATAATATTCTATTCATGATTGAACCATGAAATATGAGAAACCAACATGCATTTCAACTTTGCGATGTACAGAGTGGCAGGTATTGATAGCAAGGCAGGAATTCACAGCCACAGAAAATCTATCATCCTAACCTAGGGCTTTGTGGCAATGTGTGCTATAAATACAAGCTTCTGGCATTAGCAACCGGCTCAGTCCCAATAGTAAATTGCTAACAAAAATGAAGTCCAGGCAGCAGAGAAATGGACAAAAATGAAGAACCAGTAAGAAAGAAAGAAAGCAACAAGCAGACACTACGAGGGCCATGGCAACAGAGCGTTAGTACTAAATTGGGGAGCAGAGTAAGGAAGGAGGGAGAAGAGGAGCCAAGGGGAAGGAGGTCTCTCTCAAAGGAATTCTTATAACATATATGCAATAAAAACCATCTACCGCTCATGTACCTTGTCGTGGTGGATTCATCTCTGCAAACCTCTTCAGAATGTTGCTGACCATCATGGGCGCAGCAACAGAAGAGTTCTGCTGTCTGGGAATGTCTGCCTGCTGGGTGGTACCTGAAGCCATGTCATAAATGATTGGAACTATTATACTAACAGGTTCTTGGGGAGGGACTGATGTTTTCTGAGTTAGTTGAAGCTGTAGACACACAAGAAAAGCAGAAAATCAAATATTGGTTTCAATTTGTGAGACACACTATCATTTACATTCAGATTACTGATATAGCAAGTATAAGAAAAATTAGAAAAAAGTGACAAAAAACTGAGCATTATGATTGCCTCACAATTACCAACTTGAATAAATTTCTGTTGTTACTAAGGGAACCAGAAATCCCATGAAGTCTAAAAGTGAAGAAATATAAGCATATATTTGGCAATAACTAATTTAAAAATTGCTCTATTACTCTCACATGGCATTTTCCTCAGAAACTCTGCACACACAGATGATGTCAGGTGATACTTACAAAAAATAGCATTTTGGATTTCAGCACCACAGCTGGTGTCCCAGGAGGTGCAATTGGTGGTGCGCTGGGAGGGATAGTGAGGCAAAACTGAACATTCCATTTTAGCTGTGTTGCTTGGTCTGGAAACTGTTGTGAAAGGGGAAGAAATACAACAAAACTCCTGTTAACATTTAAAAACACATCTGGTCTGGAGTTGAGGAGTTAGAGTTTCGTACACACTCAATCATTCAGACAGTAAGTACTTTCTTAAAAGGAATATATACATGAAGTCACAAACTAAAACTAGGGGGGTAGATTTGTGTGCTGTGTTTTCATTCATTCCTGGACACTTCATTACTTCCAAGGCCAATACTTCAGCTTCTACAGTGTCTCCAACATCTAGCTACTCTTGTTTCCCTGCGGACATCTATCTACTCTTCAGTCTACTCTTGCACAAAGCTCAGGGATTCACTGCTTCTAGTAATCCCAGCCAATGTCTTCTTTTTTGGGTTCATACTTCTACCTAATGTCAGTCCCCCAGGAGTGAGGTTCTAATTTCACTCACAAATGCTGAATGACTTACGCTGTTCCCTCCCACAATTAAGAACCAACACATGACACTTAAGGCTCTTATTGACTAATGTCCATTTAGTTTCAAAGTCCTGTTTCTAACTGCTTCCCTAAACAAAATAGGCAAACAGTGTTAATGGCTTATAAGGATAATTTACTGATGTTTTTGTAGACAGATATTTTCTAACATATAAGGTCTGTTACAGTGTATCACATCAAAAGCCATTTTTTGTTGTTTTGGTTTTGTTGCAGTTGTTGAAACCTGGTTTCTCTGTAGCTTTAGAGTCTGTACTGGAACTTGTTCTGTAGACCAGGATGGCCTATCTCTGCCTCCCGAGTGCTGGGATTAAAGATGTGTCCAGCAAAAGCCAAATGTTAAGACCATTAAAAAAAAACAAAACAAAATACAGCAACAACAAAAATACTTCTTGATAGTAAAATACTTCCTGATAGTAAAACAGGAACAAAAATTGAGGAGAGAGGTTTTAGGTTAATCAAATCAACAGCAAAAATAAATATCAAGATCAAAAGAGAATTTTAAGAAAATACTTAAAGTATGGGGCTAGAGAGATGACTGAGCAGGTAAGAGTGCATTCTGCTCTTCCAGAGGAATCAGATTCAGTTCCTAGCACTTCTATGGGGTGGCTCACAACTAACTTTAACTCCAAAGGCTCTTTGTATTACCATGAGAGAGACATGAAACATTCTCCTGTGGAGCCTGTAGAGAACTGGCCTTGCTGACACCTTGCTTTAGGACTTTCACACTCCTAAGCTGGGACTGAAGAAATTGCTATTGTTTTACACCACTCTTCTAATGGCTTTTCTTTTGGTGGCTCTACAAACTTAATACAAAAGCAGACCAAGCTGTACAGAAAATAGCAGTAATCCTGCAAAGGCTCAAAGCAAACAAGAACAGATTCCCAGGGCTCTAAAGATGGCTGCTCCCTAGTTAGCATCTGCTCTTTGTGACTCAACCCTTGAGAATTCACAGCTCTTCATGGGACACAAAGTCTACCACCAACCAATTTGGGGAGCTAGATTATAAATAAATACAAAATATTTTACAATAAAAATAGATACAAGTACATAACAATATAGCAGCAAGACATTGTTCCTCTTATCAGACCATCTCTGCAAAGAGTAGTTAGTTACTGGGAACTCTGCTTGGACAGAGAATGGCTGGAGAATGGCTGGGCAATTCCTCACTCTATCACCTTGTCCTGAATTCAAAAGACACAACATTTGTATTATCACAAATTTTAAGCCCAAATTAAGAATTTAATTCAATTTAATCCTTTAACTCCTTTCCTAGGAGCCAGAGGCAGGTAGATATCCATGAGTTTGAGGCCAGCCTATTGAAAAAAAAAACCTAATAAACTCTAAGAGAAAAAATGAAACAATGAAATAAGTGAGATGGAATAAACACTTCTCTGCTTTAGAAAAGCTTTTGTTTCTCAGTAACTCACCAGCTCCAACTTCATAATATGCACACAGTCACGTAGGATGTGTGTTGGTGCTCCCAATAGCTTAGTGAAGGCTATAAGTGTGTTGGCTTTAAATGGAGGTCCTGCAACCTATGGGGAGGAAAAGAAATCACCTTATTTTTCATTCTACAATTTCTCTGGTTCACTGACTAAATTACAAGCAAGGACTAGGAAACACATACTCTTGTTTCGAAGAATTTCTCCAAAACTTGAAGCTCATCAGGTTTCCACTGTCCTGCATTTTCAGGTGTCACTTTTAGCTGTAGGGTCTGGTTGGTTTTGGGACTAAGGGCTACTCTGCATTTCAGGGCATCTGTCTTGAACATGATTACACCAGGCTCGTTGGAATTGATCAGCTGCAACTGCAAAACAAGGATGAACCAAATCAGCAGGGGAAGACATACAGATCGCTGACAGAACTGTCACAATAGAAAAAAACAACTAGGTCCAGGCCAGCCAGATGAGTAACAGAGCCCAACAGTAGAGGGATAATAAGTAGAACTCAGGTTGCAACACAGCTCTTATCATCTCCAAGATGAATGCTAATTTACTTAATGTATCTTAATATCATGAAGAGATACAGTGACAAGAGAAGGCAAACAGAGAGAGTCTCCTTCACAAAGATTTTATTCTGCCTTTGACAATGGCCACTTAGAAAGTCCCATAGCACATACCGTTTCCTGTTGAATAATTCTTTGAAGGTGTCGTCTCATGATGACAGATCCAAGGAATCTCTCAAGTGGGGAACAAAGGTAACTGCCTGCCAGGCCAGGCACAAGGCCTGGTGTCGGAGAAGGTAGCAGTAAGATGTTCAAGGCACTATGAGTGAGGATGGTGGGTATAGATGCTGCCCAGGAGCGCTGAGGTAGTTTGCGAGGTGGAGGCATGTTGGTTGGCATTGTCTGGGAACCTTTTGGGAAGGAAAACAAGTAGCTTCATTTGCAAATACATACTATCCCATTATTGCCTTTTTTGTCTTCATCACAGAAGATGTAATTGGAACTCCTGTAATTATTCCTCGTCATCAAGGAATCTTATGTTAGTTCTCAGATAACAAAATCAGCTGCCATGATTTCCCCTGATTGTATCCAAGCCTCTACAATGTGACCTTCTAAGAATTTCTTCAAGGAAGTAGAATCTGCTTCTCAACCTGGAATCTGAGTGGCCTCATGACCTGCTTTTGCCAACAGATTGCGTGGAAGGGATGGATGCTGTACTAGTTACAGGACTTCCAAGTGCGTTCCTGGAACCTCGACCCACTGTGTAAACAAATCATGATCAAGTGTGAGACCACACAGAGAAACCGTGTCAGCTGAGGCTATGTTAGGCCACCTACAGCAGACACACCAGTAAGCTTAGTGGAGTCTGTCAAAGTACAGAATTATGAGCTAACACAGCACTGGTTTTTTTTTAAGTACTAAAAGTTATTCAACAAAAGTAAACATATATTTGTACATTTTCTATAGCTTTATTGGTTAACTTAAGTTACCTTTTAAGGTTCAATACTGCAGACAAACATTAACAGTCATGATGGAGGTGCTGGGGCTCACTCCCAAGACTTCTGAGGGAGACAACCCTTTTTCTTACTACATTTTCCCTAACTTTGTTCATTAATATTGCGAAGTGATTTACAAAGGAAAACAAGTTTAAGGTTTGGCAATCCTCATTTGAGAAGTACACTATGACTTTCAAATGCTAGGGAAAAATGGTAGAAGTCAACTATTGGTAATGCCTTAGAAGAACATAATGCTGGCAATACTCACTTGTGCCAGCTCGAGGGGAATGAGAAGCATCTGGAATAGGAGAATGTAGAGATGGGTTGGCTGGTGACATTCCAGGCAATCGGGCTGCTGGCGAGGGTCCAGACACTTGAGGAGACCCAGGCCAGTTTCCTGCTCGTCCACTTGGTGACACCATAGTATATGGAGAACTAGGGTCAAGGGTTCCTGGAGTAAAAAACAAATAGATGATTCTCAAAGTATGTATTTTAATGTCCTCAGAGTATGTGACAATAGTCATAGCCTTAAATAGTGAGCCATTTTAGTTGTCGTTCACTAAAGCTTGATGTTTCTTAAGATGTTAACCCTAAGTCTCTATTTTGTGGAGTTTGTGCTTGTTTTTTTAAAACAGGGTCTTACTATGTAGACTAGGATGGTCTTGTACTCACTGAAGTCCACCTGCCTCTGCTTCCAGAGTGCCAGGATTAAGGCATGCACCACTATGCCCCCAGCTAGAGTTTGTGTAGTCCCCCACCCCTGACACAGTAGCCTTGGAACCTGTAGACTAGGCTGCCCTCAAACTCAGAGATCTGCCTGCATCTGCCTTCCAAGTGCTGGGATTAGAGGCTTGTGGCACCACCACCCAACCAGAGTTTGTGTATTTTTAACCTGGATTAAAGATTCAGAAAACTGAAAAAAACCAAGAAAGGATAACTTTACCTTCAGACAGGCTTCTGAACATTTAAAGAAACATCAAGTTCCACTGAAAGGAAGACCAGCCCTGGCAAATTATGTTTCCTTTCTACTGAGAAAAGGATGAGAGAGGGAAACTACACATTTTTTTATTCAATGAAGGCCACACTGACTAAGAAATAGAACTGAGAAAAAAGTTTTGAAAGCAGTGGCTGCCTTAACAATTTGATATTTTAAACTTCACCACAAAGATACTTTTGACATACTGTGTATATCCCTTTACCACCAAATGACACACTAATAAAATATTTCTACCATCTATTTTAGTGAATAGATGGTCTTGACTTATAAAAAAAAGAAAGTCTTACAAATAAATAAGACAGAACAAGAAAGTAGACAAAGTATATAAAATGGTTGGAATGAAATAAGAGACACTAGAGACAAATGGGCATTCTTAAAGGAAATTTGAATTAAATAAGTGAAATTTAAGTAATAGTAAAGAAATGTATATCCAATAGTAAAACACCATTTCTTCACCTAGCAAAATGGCCAAGGTTTGTTTCTTTCTTTTTCTTTCTGATTCGTTTCTTCCTTCCTTCCTTCCTTCTTTCCTTTTCTTTAAAAGATAATCTTAATATCCCAAGATGATAATGTTGCAGGACAACAGACATCCCCCCCCATGGTGCTACAGGAAAGTGGTAGGGCCTATGTTGCAATTCACCCTATGTTGCAAAAGCTTTAGAATTTCTCAATTGTGGTACAACCTCAATGACATTTTTAGGAACTTACCTAAGGGGATTATCATGGATTTGAGTACAAAGGGTACTATTTTAAATTGTGAAATAAAAATGGAAACATTCAAAATAGATACAATACAGAAGAGTAGTCAAGTTATGCTATACCTGGACAAGGGATATTATGAAGCCATGTAGTATGATGATGGGGAGTTTTCACTGACAAATGATCAAACACAACAGTATTAGTAAAAAGTAAAGTCCTAGCTAAAATGCTTGAAAGACTGAGGAACTTCTTTATGCTCTGATGTGGCATGGTGTTAATTTAAACAGTGTGTATAATATGCTGCCGTGTGGAATAGGGAGGTGTGTGTGTGTGTGTGTGTGTGTGTGTGTGTGTGTGTGTGTGTATGTGTAAAAAAGGTCTGCAAGAATATATCAGAAATCAGGTACTGGAGAGATGGCTCAGTGGTTAGGAATACTTGTCCTTCCAAGGATCCATGGTTTGGTTCCCAGCACACACTGTGGCTCATAACTACCTGCAATTCCAATTCCAGGGGATCTGATGCTGTTAATCTCAGCACTTGGTAGAGAGGTGGAGACGGGGTGTTTCTGTTGCTATAAGTTAAGAGGCCAGCCTGGACTATACAGTTTGGTCTTGGCAACAAACACAAAGGGAACATTTCACTGACTACCTCCACCTGATCTTTATTTGCATCCATTCAATATGCTGAAAATTGAAGATTCAAAACAATTCATATGGTCAAGTACCAAGATTTGGGGAGGGTTAAGGGGGAGGTATCTGAGGGATGGACAAGCCAATAGCTGGAGAGCAAGCACAGAAAGACACAGGAAGACCAGAAAGCAGGCAGCAGCTAACATGCAGGACAAAGCAAAGCAAGGAAAGAGAGGAAGACAGTCACAAACAACAAGTCAGTGCCTCTGTATGGAAAAACTATGAAAGAATGTTCCTTTTTTTTTTGGCCAAGTCATGTTTTTGGTATTTCTCAATAAATAAGCACTAGATTTTCAATAATAAATCTAATTTAACAAGAATCACTTTCACATCATGCTCTAAATGCTACAGCGATTTCTGTGTGTGGACTCACCATGTGGACTAGCAAAACTGGCCCCTGGTCCTATTGAGATTCCATGCGAGGATGGGGGAGGAGTTGGAACAAAGGACGCTGGTGATGGGGCTCTCAAAGCCCCACTGGGGGAGCTGGCAGCATGCAGATTTCCTAATAAAGGAAAATAATTACAGATGATCTTGCAGGACACATCATGTCCTGTCCAAGGACCACAGGTTACAAAAATCTCCCTACAGACTACAGAGACAAGCAGAAAAGGTCCCATAAATAGCATGAAGGACTATTGGGAAGACTTTACTATTACAAGGAAGCTCAAGTCCACAGGTCCATGCTGTAACTCTCATACACTAACTGAAAATAAATTGTGTTCAATACACTTTTTAGTCATGTATTCAGTCAACAAGTAGGTGACTTTATCAACTTTTTGCCAAGCACTGTTCTAGGCATGGAAGTCACAGTTAACATAAGAGACAATTTCTGTCCTCATAGAGCATGCGTTCTAGTAAAATTAGCATCTATATAAGGTTATGACAAGTGCTATGGATAAAACAGGTGCAAAGGAAAAGAGCAATTCTTTGTGGTGGCAGAAGTCAAGTCTCTAAAGGGACACATTAACCAGACAGGAAGAAAGTATAGGACATAGCACAAGGAATAAGATAATCCAGGTAAAACAGAAGAGCTCATTTAAAGGCCCCAAAGAAGGGACCGTTTGTGTGACAGGGCAGGAGCCAGGGTGCTGGAAAAGAGTAAACAAGGGTGGCATAAGAGAAGATGACAGAGTTGAGAGGTTAGTTACAGACTGCACATGAACTTGTAGGCTATTCTAAGGATATATGGCTTACTTTGGATGATAATCAACCAGTAGCATCTGGAGTAGAAGCCACTAACTTCTGTCCTAGAAGAAGCACTCTGCTGGCTAGTACTAGCTGCAAGGGTGACTGAAGGTTGAGTAGAGGTACTGCAAGGTGCTTGAATTTGGGATTGAAAACAAAGGATAGTCAACAGCATTTGGTAAATAACTCAATGTAGGTGTAAAAGCAAAAACTGTTCTGCATATTCTGATAGCTATAGCCTGCTTAACATGACAGAAGGGGTTGTCCCTTTCTGAACTAAGGTATCTATGCAAGGATCAGGACCCAAGACTAGGAAACTAAATATTAGGTGGAAGTGAATAATTCCTCAGTGAGGTATAAATTACATACAAAAGCTGGGAGACAGGCACTTAAAGCCATGGGACTGATTTTTAACTTTGAGGGCTTTGAAAGGGAGAACTACAGCTATTAAAACTAGAATAAACTCAACATATAAATACTTGCTATATTACTATTCAGCAGGTTTCAAACTCATTACTACAATATAGGATAATTTCATTTTTTTATGTTCTACAATACTTAAGCAATATCTCATACTCCATAAATATCAACTTGATTAACCTTTATGTATAATATTTACCCATTTAGCTGTATGATCTGACACGTGAATTAACTTCTCCATGCCTCGGTTTTTCTCCATAAAATGAGAATAATAATGGGACCTATGGCTTAAGTTTGTTGTGATAATTAAATGAGTAAAGCGCTTAGAATAGGGCTTGGCATATTCATAGCAAGCACTGTATACCTGTCTACTAATATAATCATTGAAAGTTTATTTTCCCCTTCTTCTTATGCAACAATCTCCACTCTTCCTAGAGACATACTCCCCTGGGGAAATCTCCCCTTGGAAATCTTCAGAACTTTTATAACCATATTTAAGAGAACTTCCCTCTGTAGTTTTGAAAGCAGTTCCTTTCTGTTAAGAAAATGAGCCCCTTTGTGACTCCAAATATGGATGGCTGATCCAGTAAGGACCAAACTTTTGGAAAAGGCCCTGTTTCTTCATGTTCTGGCCATTCAGGACAGTGGACTCTGGGACCTCAGGCTCCACACACATAATGTGGTCTGCCTGGAATACCTACCTAGTCTGTGTTCTTGCAGCTGGCCTGCTCCAACCCATCCTTCAGGTCTCATCTTGACCCATGGCAAGGTAAAGAAAGCAGGCAAAGAAGCATCTCTGGGACGGAAATGGCCAGTGTTCTACCAAAAAGTCTAAATGACCCTTTTTTAAGGCTCAACACATGAGGAATTACAGGTGGAGACTATTGGGGAGTCTAAGCAGAGGAACCATACACACACTGTCTCTAAAAAAATAGGAAACTGAAAAATTTTTGTAAAAGAAACATCAAGGATCTGGCTGCCTGCTTTCTTTCCCTAGAAATCCTCTGTAAAACAAAACCACCTGCTATTGTAACAATTTGAAGAATAATCTGAGTGGCTGTGAGAGAGGCATGCAGCAGAGGAAGAAGCTACCAAGATGAGACTGGCTGAGCAATGGCAGTTGGACTATCAAGTAGTCTAACCTGGAACCAAGGCAGATTGCAATGGGTTGGTCAGAGAGGTGTATGTACAGGTCAGGTTCCAGACTAAACACTATGTGATTTATTTCACTCAAAATACTTTATGCTATTCTCAGTTAGCAATGGAATAAGTGGACTAAACTAGCCAGACCCCTTCATCTCTTATCGGACTAACAGGTTCTGCAGGATCATGTGCATTTCATATATATATACATATACATATATATATATGCAACACTTATACATGTATATATGCATTGAGGGATTTTTAAAGAGTAATTTAAAAGAAAAAGAAACCCACATAAGATTTAAATATTAGGGGGCTGGAGAGATGGCTCAGTGGTTGAGAGTACTGGCTGATCTTCCAGAGGTCCTGAGTTCAATTCCCAGCAACCACATGGTGGCTCACAACTACCTCTAGTGGGATCTGGTGCCTTCTAGGTGTACATGCAGATAGAGCACTCATACATAAAATAAATAAATATTTTTAAAAACTATTTAAATATTAGTAAACTAAAGGATGTTCTTATCATTTGAGAATGCTCAGCTTTCTAGCTAGATTATATGTGTGTGTGTGTGTGTGTGTGTGTGTGTGTGTGTGTGTGTGTGTACATTTGTGTATGTGCGAGTCTATGATATAAGGATGGAACCCAAGCCCTCACATGTTAGACAACTGCTTTACCAATCAATAAGCAACATCCCTAATCCTGAGGTTTTAGTAATAAATTCAACAAAAAAATTACTTTACAATTTTCACCTTCTTGTACTAGTAAGAATTGAACCCAGGGCCTCATGTATGCTATGCAAGCACTTAACCACTGAACTCTTTCTGTATTGTCTGCTTTATGAGGTCTTGAACTTTGATACTGTTGTTTCAGCCTCCCAAGTAGCTGAGATTACAGACTTATACCACCAGGCCTGGAAAATTATTTAATTTCTTATATTTTACATGTAATATTACATCATATATCTTTTGTGATAAAACAGTTTTGTTTTAATTTTTCATTATATTGATTTAACTATGGGAGCTAGAAGGTAGGTTATTTCCCTCAAGAAATATGACACCTGTGCCATTTGTTAGATGGTAAGTGGAAGCCAGGGTCTGGTACCCAAGCTCCCTGTTTTAAGTCGTCAAGAGATTCCAAAGAATAATTCAGTTAAAATTAAAAACTTGGCATGTCACCCACATTTTACAGTGCATAGGAGAGTCCAGCAAACAATTCTTCTGTCAGGACAAATAAGGTGTGAAGTGCCTGACTCCAGGAACTGGAGAACAGATTACTGTCTTGACAAACAGAGCGGTAGTAGAAGGACAGAAATCACAAGTCAGGAATGGTGGTATACCCCTGAAACCCCAGTATTAGGGAGGAAAAGGTGAAAAGATCATGACTGCAAGACTATCTTTGGCTACATATTGAGTTTAAGGCTAGCCTGGGAAACATTAGACCGTGTATTAACAAAACAAAGAGAGTGAAAAGGTGCAGCCATGGATACCACATAAGCTGATACAGCTTTGTTTCAATTTGTTCATTTACTTAAGAAGATAGGCAGTGGGTAAGATTTGACCCCAGGCCTACAACTATCAACTTCTAATACAGACCATGAGATTAGTAGCAATCCTGGGAGTGGTGCAATGAGTCTGGCTCTAGGCACTTGAAACATGTCTTATAAAGTGCTCAGAAACCACCGCAAATGTGAATGCCCCAACACTACTCCAATAAAAGCAGCCAATTATTTAGCCAGACCAGAAAATGACACTGAAGTGTGAGGCCACGTGTGCAGGTCTTCTTCTTGGGTATGTGTGTTTTGGAATCACAAGGTAAACAGGAAAAGAGAATAAGTCATATCTTACCTGGAGACTGTGTGTGTATCATAGAGGGGGACTGATTAATTGTATTGTGATAGGAAGTAGGGGGTGAAGTAAGAGGGTAAGCGCCGGAAGTCCCTGGCTGCTTTGGAAATGGCTGAAAAAAAAAGAAAGAAAAGTTAATGTTGGCATTCTGGTCAACCACAGAGAGAGTATTACGTCTGGCTTTTGGTCATTAAGCCAACATTAGGGTTTGCCACTTCAGTGATTGGCAAATAAGAATAATTTTGATATAGAACTATTCAAAATACACATCAAACATACAAAATATGAGGTCTATAAAATGCTGACTTGCAAGTGTCTGAAAACCAGTAAAGCCCTCAATTCTCACCTGTTTCCATCACTGCTTCTGTCCCGCACAGGATCCTTTGTTCGTTTTATCTGCCATAGGTTTGTATCTTTTATGTTAACGTCCATGAAATCACAGTGGATCTTTAAATTCTCACTAGTTTAACCTCTACCTTCTTTAGCAGCAGACAAAAAGTGGTACATGTAGCTGGTGATATAGCTTCCATGGCAGCACAATTCCTCCTGGTCCAATCTCCAACAACACACACACCCACACAAGTGTGCATGCATGCACACAGGAATGGTGTATATTTGGTAAAGTTTACACCTTCCTAGCCTTTTTATAAAGTTGACATATTGATAACATTTAGAAAATATAGAAAACATTTAATTACATAAACACCTTTATATTGATTCACTTTCTGACTCTGTGCTTGTGCCTTCAACACTTCCACAATGATTTTCGGCTCCTCAATGAGAAAAGCATGTTCTGTCCTGTCATGTTCACTGCATGGGCATACACCACTTGCAGATTTTGGTTCTTTCAAAGCCTTCTTGGTACAAAGGTAACTAATCCTATTGCCAGAGGTTCAAGATAATCTAGTTTTGGTAGAGGCTGTATTGTAGGAAAGCCCACAACCGAATGTCAAATGTTGGATCATTTTGAATGCCTCTGAGCACCATCTCCAGAAAAAGAAAAGGGCAAAAAAAATCTTAAATGCACAATTTGATGAATGTTAACTAGCCAGACATGGTAGCACATGCCTATAATGGCAGCACTGAGGAGGCAGAGGCAGGTGGCTTTCTATAATTTTAAAGACAAACTAGTCTACATATGAATTCCAGGCTAGCCAGAGCTACTTAGAAAGACTCTGTCTCGAAAAATAAAGAAAATAAATAAATTACAGATTAACTACGAGCATACCAGTTTTTCAAGTCTTTAGCACGTCCTCATAGATCTGTAACTGTTCTGACTTCCATCATTCCTACGCAGTCTTCCTTTTGCATTTCATATAAATACTAAAGACACCAAGACTAAAGGGAATTCCCAGGATCCACAAGATGAAAGAAGAGCTGACTCCAGCAAGTTGTCCTCTGACCTTCACATGTGCTATGATACTTACAAGCACACAAAATAAATAAGTGGTTGAAAAAAGTTTGAGACTGTTGTGGCACTCTCAGAATGACACAGGCAGGAAGATCTCTGTGAGTTGAGGCCAGCCTAGTATATACAGGGAGTCAAGGACAGTTAAGAATTCTGAGAGGCACTGTCAGACATTTGATTTTGAAAATAAACAGCACGAGCCAGGCGATGATGACCCATGCTTTAATCCTAAGATTTGGAAAGCAGAGGCAAGAGGGTCTCTGTGAATTTGAGGCCAACCTGGTCTATAGAGCAAGTTTTAGGACAGCCAGGGCTGTTACACAGAGATACCCTGTCTTGAACCTCCCCCCCAAAAGATATAAACACCTACCAAAAAAAAGCAAAGAATTCCTAGAGTTTTTACAAAGTGGTAAATTGTTCTCAAGTTCCTAGAACATCCTAATTTTTCCTTAATCTACTCACATCTAATCCTTTCACCAGTTGGAGATTTCATATCCAGTTTGAAATGATACAGGTACATAGAACTCTCAGCAAATCAGAATGTTTAATAGGCTACAACATCACATTTTTCAGTGACCAAAACAATCCTTGGAGAATCAACTAACAGATTATTTAGGATGAAGGTAATAATGGATCAGACCTCCATCAATTGACACTAGCTCTGCTATAGCTGTGGCTAATATCCAGCCATCTCAGTCACTTCTTTCCAAGAATATGTGGCTCACTCTTTGCCCAATATCAAGTCCAGAAAAGATCAATAATATAAAAAAAGGGTCCCACAATAAATACTGCTGCTACTACTGATAATAAAAATAAATACTCCTGCCGGGCAGTGGTGGCACACGCCTTTAATCCCAGCACTGGGGAGGCAGAGGTAGGCAGATTCTCTGCAAGTTTGAGGCCGGGCTGGACCGATAGCCTCCAAAACAATACAGAGAAACCCTGTCTCGTAAAGACCAAATAAATAAATAAATACTCCTGTGCTGGGCAAGGTCGTCCTCCGCAGTGGTAGCACAGCAACTTCATCTGAGTCAACATCTGTCAGAGCCCCACTCTGGCTACAGAGGCATTCATACAAGGTTTTGCTGGGCTACCTTGCATTTTTTTTTTTTTTGGTTTTTCGAGACAGGGTTTCTCTGTAGCTTTGGAGGCTGTCCTGGAACTCACTTTGTAGACCAGGCTGGCCTCGAACTCACAGAGATCCGCCTGCCTCTGCCTCCCGAGTGCTGGGATTAAAGGTATGCGCCACCAACGCCCGGCTGCTACCTTGCATTTTTACGAAGGTCAGGAAGAGAACCAAACACAGAGGAAAGAAACCTAAGAAAATGCCAGGAATACATAAATCTCTGATGTGTGAGAGTCTAGTACTCTTAGAAAGACACAAGCACCAGCAAGTTGCACTTACGAAGCATAAGTAGTCAGGGCAGAAGCAAGGCAACCCAAGAACATTCATTGTACAGTGCTGTATTGAAGAGTCTTGGGGAGAAGCAGTGAGGTACTTTATTAAAAAATTACCTCTGAAGGATGTGCCTCAGAACCTTGCCAACAGCTTGTATGTTCACATACAACTAAAATCAGAGTTGCTAAAGAGCCTTCAGCCACTTTGTCTGGGCTCTGACACATGGGCACTGGCCTGTTCCAGGCAAGGGAATCACATGGGACTGGTTTAGAGACACAAGATCACTGACTACCTTCTATTGCAACAGAGCAATCAGAGTGAGAACAAAGGCTAGCTTCAGGGCTGCTCAACTCCCAGACATGGGAAGGAGTCAGAACAGAGCCAGAACACAGCTGAAAGCTTTGGAGATGTGATCATATGGCTTGGCGAAGCTATCTGAGGAAGAACCCTTGAAATGGTACTCTGCTCTGCTGAATTGGTCATTCATGACATAGTAAGGTTGCTCTACAGCAAGTTGCCTTGTATCCTGCAAATGACTTTTTTCCCCATTTAGACTCTCATTGCTTTAAGAAGATGTGTGGTCTGAGAACCTGAGGTCAATGCCTTTTCCATTACTGCTTATTTCATATCACTGGAGGTCTCGTTGTCTCCGTCACTATTTCTTTCTTATAAGGATTTCCTGGGCTTCTTGGGCCTTCCAAAGACTTCTTGCTTTTCAACAAAGAAATGCTGACACCTATAGAAGCTGTGACAGTGGAATTTCAGGGACACATTACCTGTTGCTGAGGTGGCTGGAGCTGTGATATTAAAGAGTCCATCATATCACCTCCTATAGGAGATGGGGGGTTATCATCCTCATTTACAGATCTTCTCCTTGCATCCTGATTGCTATCAACAAACATGTTCAGGAACGTCTATGAATATAAATGAGCAAAATTAGTACAACAGTTTAAAAGCATCTTGTACATGTATTTGTGTGTGTGTGTGTGTGTGTGTGTGTGTGTGTTACATCTGAAGTGAGACAGCTTTATTTATTTGTTTGTTATTGGTTTTTTTGAGGCAGGATTTTTCTGTGTATATCCCTGGCTATCCTGGAACTCACTCTGTAGACCAGGCTGGCCTCGAACTCAGAGATCCACCCACCACTGCATTCTGAGTGCTCGGATTAAACGTGTGTGCCACCACCAGAAGAGCCAGCCTTTTTAAATATAATATGATATCAAAAACTTAAGCAAGGCTAATGGAGTTTGTCTCAAGCAATGTTTTTCTGCGTGTGTCTCTCAGTTAATGTATGCGTCTATGTGCAGGTACAGGTCAGGAGGGGTACTGGGTGTCCTCTTATTTTAGACAAGGTCTCTCACTGAACCTGAAGTCCTCCATTTAAGCTGGCTGGCCATGACAATCCAGTGATCCACCTGTCCCCATTCAACAGTGGAGTTACACTCACATGTAGCCATGCTTGGCTTGTTCTTTTTTTATATGGGTGCTAGGAATTTGAACTTTTCTTTCTTTCACAGCAAATGTTCTTATCCACTGAGCCACATCCCCAGTTCCTGATTCTCCTTTTAATATCCCTTTTCCGATCTTCAAATAAGATGTCATAATTTTATCAAAACAAAGTCTTTCAGAGATGTGTAAGACACATTTTATCTCCATGCCCCACTAAAATTACTGAAAAGAAATTTAAAATAGTAAGTCAAAGACAAAAAGAATGAGAAAAGAAAAAAAGTAGTAATGCACTCTCGAAGATGGTGAAGCAGATGGGTTAACCGCCTGATGAGCAGAGTCCTAGTCTAAGCTAGCCAAGAAGCAAAGCTATTTCCATCCAGATTCTCAAGACAGTGCCAGATACCTCGGCAGTTGAAAGCACAGGCTGCTCTTCCAAGCGCCCACATGGCAGCTCACAACCGTCTGTAACTCTAGTTTCAGGGGATGCAGGCACACAAGTAGTATACACACATACATGAAGACCAAACATCCATTCATATTAGACACCACCACCAACAACAAAAGGATTGATTCTCTATTACTGTCATGAGAACTCTGTGCATTAGTGTACCACCATCTCCTGAAGGAGGAAACCTGGGTTGGTGGTGGGAGAACTTCAGGATCAATTCAGAGAAAGGGTACCATACTTAAACTAGGTATTAAAGACCATATTTTTAAGGTAGAAAAGGCTTTTTTTTCTCTTCTCTTTTGACCTCTTGCAATTGAGGAATCAGATGTGCAGCATCTCTGCAAATTCACAACGGCCCAACAAAAAGACACAAAACTACTGACTTGGGGAGTATGGCCAAGCAGATTCTCCTATGATGAACACCAGAGTCTCCATATATAAGAGCAGAGAGTTAAGAAAGACACCAACACAAACAAGAGGAAAGTTCCACAAAGGCAAAAAATGGAGTTTACATGGGAAGACGAGAGGGAAGAGAAAGTGGCATATATATAAGCAAACATGCTATAAAGTCTGGGGAGATGGATCAGGGGACAGAGTGCTTGAGCCCCAACACTGAGGTACAATCCAGGAGTGGCAGCACACATTTGTTTTTTTTTTTTTTGTTTGTTTGTTTGTTTGCTTGTTTGTTTTGGTTTCACTGTGTACCTTTGGAGCCTATCCTGGAACTCACCCTGTAGACCAGGCTGGCCTCAGACTCATAGAGATTCATCTATCTCTGCCTCTGAGTGCTGGGATTAAAGGTGTGCGCCAGCACAGCCCTGTGGCAATGTACCTAGCACTGTGGGTAGAGAGGAAGAATGAAACAAAAGGAGACAGAACGACACAAGATCACTGAGGCTTGTTGGCTGCCAACCTACCTCAACTAGCTTCAGGTTTGGTAACGTACTGTGTCTCAAGAAAGTAAAGCAGAGTGATAAAAGGCAGACATTGGCATTGACATCTGGCCTCCAACAAACACAACCACATTATACCACACATAAAATAGAGGCCAAGTCTAGGATGGTTACAACAGAGGTATTAGAAACATCTAACAGAAAACATGAAGAATCAAAGCATCATGCAAAGAACTTTCCCAGGGCAAATGGATGTACATATTCAGATGCCAAGAACCAACTTGGTAACACAAGGTTCAAGCCAGGAAGAATCCAAAGTAGCAAACAAGGAAGCACATCTTCAAACATTTTATAAAAATGATCACAGCCTAGAATCCTATACTTAGGCACTCTCAGTGAGATGAAGGTAACCACTGTCAAACACACTAGGTCTCAGACACACTCCATGGTCTGCATGACTCTCTTGTGTACTTTCTCTCAGGCGGCTACTACAGCAGATTTACTACCAAAACACTGAAGTAAGAAAAAGACTGTAATGGTCTGTAATGCTACTCTGGAATGTCAGCTAGAATAATTATACATACAAAAGACAAACTTCTAGGTGTGCTTATGAGGCTGGTTCTAGAGACCTTTAACTGAGCTAGGTTAACCCATCCTGACTGTGGGCTGCAACCTTCCATGGGCTTGGGGTCTGAAGTGCTGAACCCAATAAAAGATACACTAAGCGCAATGCCTGCATTCAATTTGCTCTGCTTCTTGACTGTGAGCACAATATAACAATGCACCTCAAACTCCTGCTGCCATGCCTTCCCTGCCATGAGCCATACCAAACCCTCCATCCTCACTTTGACCAGGGTTTTTTGCTTGTTTCCATGTATATGTGTACATGTGGGAGCACATGTGTGCAGGTGCGTGCATGTGTAGGCCTAAAGGTAACATCAAATATCTTCATAAAAACAATAATACTAAAAAATATGCAATCACAATTGCTACCTAAGTATATTGCAAAACCAGGAGAAAAGCAAATGTATTTTTTTTATATAATGGGAGCAGCCTGAAGGAGGAAAAGACCACATAAAACGAAATTTCCAAAGTAGTACATCCTCCTTTTTCAGGGTGGGAATTATGATGCCCTTAAGCAAAAACTCAACAAGTGACAGTGTATCTTGCTACTTAGATGCATGGTTCCTTCCATAAATACCAAGAGAAGCAGATGCCTAACAAGTGAAAACAGGTTTATGTTAGGAATGGGAACATACACGGAGTGGGGTAAGGGGGGGGGGGGGGGGAGTTTACAAAACCAGCCTTTGGAACTATTTGACTCCCAACTATGAATACAAGCATCTGGCTCTCCATGAGGCTCTCCAGCAATAAAGTCTCCCTTTAAAGTCCCCAAGAACAAATGCTTACTCATGAGGGTGAGGAAACAAGGGGCCTCCTAACATTCCATGTACACAGAAACTGTACTTAATGCAAATTCTAGATCATCCAGAAGGAAGTTGCAAGGAAGATACATCAATTTTACTACTTACTAGATTCTGATGGAACAGCATTTCTCCTTCAGAGCAATTGTTTTTCAAATTACGTTTGTTTATTCTATCATTCTGTAACATTGAAGTTTATTACCTTTAATCCTGGGGCAGGATAGAAGCCTTCAACTAACTTGCTGTTATCAAAAAGACTATAGGCACCATCTCGTATTGCCACAACACCTCGACTACGGCAATATATGTCAATGCAGTACATGTTCCTGAAGGCCAGTCTGATATGGGTGGATGACTGTGGTAGAATGGAGAAACACTGGTAGGCGGTGTTAGTTCTCTGAGTCAAGCCCAACATTGGCACAGTAGGGAGTTTGTTGATGGCATTTAATGGTGCCTGAGTATCAAACAACACCTAGAAGAAACAAATACAGAGAGGTCATCCAGTTGCCGTGCAACTGCTAAAAACCTAGAATTTTTCATGTATCACTGTCACAAATGAGCATTCTGGCATATCCTATAAAACTTTCTGTTTAATCAAATTAAGTTCTCAAGACAGTGTTCAAATCATGTAAGATGAAAGCATCCATCTTAGTCATTAAAGATAAATGCAGATAATTTTTGAGGCATTTTGCACAACACACTACCACCAATAGGTCTTATTTTTAGACAGAACATTGAACTTAATTACCTGTAATAACTGAACCACATTTGGTGTTTTGTTGAACATTTCTTGAAGTTGATGGAGAATGGTATTGTGACAGTTACTGCAACCTGAGTTTGGGCCAACTGTTCCCAAAGAAATGTGAAATTTCTGATGAATGGAATTCCACTGGATACTAATCTAAATCAGAGATAACACATGTTAAAAGACGGCAAAGTAACAGATTTGAGTTGAAGAACACAATGTTTAAAAAGTTGCCAAACATCTAAATGATATCTTTTTGTGAAAATGAGCAACATGCTAAAATTTGGACCCAAACTTGAAATGTACGGTTAATACAGATCAGTAAAGCCCCTGAGCATGTGTTATCAGCTCCTTTTTACTATATAACCAGAAAAAAGTCATTAAGCTTTGATAATGATCACTAGTGTTCCTCAGTTGTTTCTTCTTCTCTTCAACTGCACACTACTATTCTCAGTACCACCGATTAAGGAGCACTGTCATAAAAGAGAAGGATGCTACCTCAAACACAGGTTCATTCAAATACTAGGTTTTAAAACACAAGTAATACTGATATTACTACATGCAGTAGTGTTTAGAGAGAAACAACTTGAATTTCTAAAGATTTGTTTGTTTGTTTGTTTAATGTTTGTGAGTGTTCTCCTACAAGTCTCTATGTGTACCATGTGTGGTTGATGCCAAGGAGGCTAGAGGAGGGGACTGGGGTTCCCTGGACCTGGATGTACAGAAGGTTGAGAGCTGCCATGTGGTGCTGGCAACCAAAGGGGGATCAGCTGTGAGTACAGGTTCTCGCCTTAGCCCCCAACTGATTTGTTTTTAATAAAATAAAAAAGTAAGTATAGATACAGGGAGCACATTTAGGGTTAAGCTAAGAGCAAAGAATGATTATATTCATATAAGTCAAACCAAAGCTACATTGTATTTCTCACAGCCACTCATGAATATTCTTCTTAACAGTAATCAGTCATAAAAGCCAACTTATTTGAAATCAGTGAAGGGAAAATATTACCAAAAATGTCTGTTTTAAAATCAAGATCATTCGTGTGTCCATAACACAAAGAGGGATACTCTCTCAGCCTGGACTCTTAGGGGAGTGCCTGGACCCTGCCCTGAGTGAAATGACAGACTCTGGATATCCCCTATGTGGAAGGAAGTGGTGATAGGGTGGGAGGATGGGGGATGGAGGGAGGGTGCTGGAGGAGGGCAGGGAGAAGGAACTGGGATTGACATGTGAAGCAAGCTATTTAAAATAAAGTAATAAATTTTTTTTAAAAATTAAAAAATCAAGATCATATATACTTTTTTTCTCAATTTCAAGGGATTAAGTATTACATCACACTTTATTTCAGCAAAGCATTTAAAATTGACCATTTTATCAATGGTTTGACTTGGGCCCTTATTAAAGGCAGTTTTAGGTTTTTTTCTTTCTTACGTCACACTTTTGATATGTAGCCTAGGAAAGTTGTGAATACAAGATCCTCCTGCCCCAGTCTCCAGAGTGCTGGCTTAAAGGCATGTGCCACTATGCCTGCCAGATTTCATTGTTTCAAGTTCTTAATTTTTAAAAGTTACACAAAAAAGGACCTTCCATGGTTTAATCCATAAACTTACTGAGCTTCCTTTGGTGGTTCCATAACACAAGATAAGTTTCCGATAATTATAAACACGGACTTCGGAGAAAATATTCAGATGAGCAGGTATGTCTATGCAGAAATGAAACAAAAAACATTAATAGTACATGTAAATATTTAGAAAACAGGTTTGAAAAAGAGGGCATTTGGCATATTACATGCCTAGTTTAGTTGAGAGAAGGTCTCCTTTAAGCCCAGACTTTGCCTCAGACTCCCTATGTGTGACAGTGTATTCCTGATCCTCCTTCCTTTATCAGTCAAATGTTGTGATTACAGGCACACGTCACCATGCCTGATTTCTTTTGTGAAAGGTAGTAGCCAGGACAGAGAAGGTAAGAAACATGCTGAAAAAGTCTAGCATAATGGCTAATATAGCATATCACCTTTTCTGTCCTGGCCTCCTATGCAATCAATTTATGCCAATAACAGCTCTTCCACTAATTAGCTCTATGACATTCAGCAAAGTATTTAAGTCTCTGTGGCATGGTTTTTGTAAAATAGGGATACCTGTTTCCTAAGTGACTATATAACTTAAATGTGCTGGTGTTAGAACATACTCCAAGAATGGAGCCGTGTGAAAATTCTGAGTGCTTGTGAGAAGTTTTATGACTTCAGTTTCTTGATACATGAAATTGGTATTTGAATGAGCTTTTGTAGCCCTCCCAAGTGTAGCAGGTAGGAATGAGTTTATTTCAGACTATTCTTTCTTTGTGAAAAAGTAAGCCACTGAGCAAGAAAGTGCCCTTGCCTAGACTACTGACAGTATGCTGTCCAAATTGGACAGGCAGGACACAAAAGAAAGTGACTCAAAACCTTGCCAAGACAAGGCCCTTCAGAAAATCCTGCTGCCCAGAAATGTCTGTCAGAAATGCTAGGCCTATAGGCCAAAGATGGATGCTCCAACGTTGCAGAGGAACCTTGGGTGACTGTCCAGGCAGCCAGCTGTTTCTGTCATTTCTCACATTTTTTGGAAGTCACTTGCTTACACTTCCTGCTTACTCAGTCTATGAGAGAGTTAAAGACTAGATATAGTTTTTCTTGTTTACCAGACTCAGAAAAGAAACTCACTAAAGAAGTGTAAAGTGGCCGAGCATTGGTGGCGCACGCCTTTAATCCCAGCACTAGGGAGTCAGAGGCAGGCGGATCTCTGTGAGTTTGAGAACAGCCTGGTCTACAGAGGGAGTTCCAGGACAGCCTCCAAAACAATACAGAGAAACCCTGTCTCAAAAAACCAAAAAAAAAAAAGTAAAGTGTAAAGACATTAAAAGATAATTTGATAATGCAAATTAGAATAGGAAGAGAATTAGGTACAACCTTTTGGATTCAGCAAGATAGGATAGATATGGAGTATTTTCTCTGAATTTGTCAAATGCAAATGAACTAGACACTGTTGATATACTTACTGCCTGTATATATTGTATATAGTTATTATACTTTATTGTATATAGTTTTTCTTATATTACTTATAGCCTTCTTTTTTAAACTTTAAACAAAAAAGGGGGAATGTGGGATATTTTGTTTATGATCTAACAAAGCTTGCCTGAAGATCAGAGTGCAAAGCTAGGCACACTAGTCAGCCATAGAGGCCAGGCAGTGGTGGCACACACCTTTAGTCCCAGCAGCCACACTAGTTAGACAGAGAAGCTGGGCAGTGGTGGTGCACGCCTTTAATCCCAGCACTAAAGAGGAATAACAAGGTGGGTAGAGACAGGAGTATGCAGTCATGCTGAGGCTAGGATCACACCTTTGGTCTGAGCCTTGGCAGAGGTAAGAACTCTAGTGACTTGGCTGCTTTGCTTCTCTGATCTTTCAGCTTTCCTCCTAGTATCTAACTCCGGTTTTTAATACTAATACCAATTAGAAATTGTGCTCTATGTACTTGATTATTCTTTTTATAAAACAATGTACACGTTTTATTTCTGTTACAGAAAGAAGGTACTTTTAATTCAAAAGGACGATTGCATGTACCTGGTAGAGAACGTGCAAATTCCAACACACACTCGTATAATCGGGCAATGCTACTCCAATCATTAAGAAACATTTCAACTACTTTTCTACCACCAACAGGTTCAGACAACAGATTTTCATATGTCAGATAAACATGCCGGGATGGTCCTATAGGATTCAAAAGAGAAGATTAATAGTATTCAATAGTTTAAAACTCTATAAATATACGAAAACAGTATATAAAAGATCTCACCTTGCTCCCTGGTGGAAGTGCCATTAAGCGGACAATTTGCAAATACTAACTCTGCCACCCATGTGCGGTTATTTCTACCTTGTAGTCGGAAAGTGCAATCAAGAAGAGAGCGGTCAAGGGCCTTTTGGGTTTCTTCATTTACTCCCTTACAGGGAGGAATTCTGGTGATGAAAGACAGCACATGAAATGTATGTTACACACAAAGACAAAGAACAATGTATATGACATCAGAGCTTTCAAGTCCAACCATGCTTCTGGATCCCTTCTACAAGGAAAGGAAGGAGTTCCCTGCAATTGATAATATTTAAGCTACATCAGTTCACATCAATCTATATTAGAACTTTTTTTCCTCCCCAAGACAGGGTTTCCCTGTGTAGCCCTTGATATCCTAGAATTCTCTCTGTAGACCAGGCTGGCCCTCAACTCAAATCTGCCTGCCTCTGCCTCCCAATTGCTAGAATTAAAGGTGTGTGCCACCACTACTCAGCTCATGCTAACATTTGTAAATGAGGTTTGTCTTTGTCCACAATCTTGTTCACTAAAAGGGGTTTACTTAAAAGGGTTCTAGAGAACATTATCAAGAAAAAGCTAAGGAGGATAAAATACTTATAAATCCATTTTTGAAGACAGAATGACACAGTATAAATAATTAGGGCTCTAGAGTCAGGGACATTCACTAATTCTGATAGTTATATTTAATTGAATTCCAATTCCCATACTATAAAATCAATAGGAGAATTTCTACTGATTATGGATCACCGATGATAAAGGGATAAATGTATAAGTGGCTAATGGAACATACATTAATATGTTAATCCCCACTTGGAGTAAAAGCAAATCTTAATCATGACCTCTAATGCCCTAACAAATATCTGGACTATTTGCCCTTTGCATCTTCTTCCTTTGCAGAGTTGAACTTTGTGATAAAGTTTGATTTGTACTAACTCATTTAACACATATATAAGATATAAAAATGGAATGTAGTAGTTTGGCCTCTTAAAACCACATACCTATCCATTTCCTTCTATAGCTTTATAGACTATACATCATAATACTATGAGGTAAAATATTTTAGTTGGTAATTCAGTAGCAGATGAAATAACAAGGTACTATATTAATTATATAGTATCTCTCAACTCAAGAGTGGCTCTCCGATTTCACAATTGTTCAATATCAAGGCACTAAAATATATGTAAAGAGAAATTTGCATTAGTTCTCTTATTCAGAATACGTGGAACAGAGCTTCTCATTTTGGCAACAGAGTTGTTTTGACAGGGAATCTTTGCTGTAGAGGGCTATCTTGGGTCAGAATAGTCTCAACCTACTAGATGCCAGTAGAACTTCTGAACCCCATTTCTTAGTTAATGATGAGCCTTATGTTCCTTAAAAGGCAAAATTGTCCCACCTACAAGCTGAAAACCACTGACCTATAATTTAATAATATCAAGATTTTTAAATTTTTTGCATGTGATACACACAGGTAGGGCAAAAGATAACATTGCACAAAAACAATGTAGTATAACAATGTTGTTGATTAAAGCTTACATCACAGCTTCTCTTCAACATTCTGCTATTGTTTTTCTATATGGTACAAGATAGCCTGGAACTTTAGCAAAGCTCATGCCTTAAGTGACTAAGTTTTGAAATTAGTGGTAAGAGCCAAAAATGTCAGACAACACACAGCTGTTAAACATTTTTATAAAGCTAGCCAAGAAGAAAAAGATCAGAAAGATGAGGACAGGGGTAAGACACAGGAGGTGCTGGCAGGTGGAGTGGGCCAGGGAGTCTGTGGCAGTATTCTGGGCGCATGTGGCCCTTGGTGGCCATCTTTGTAAGCATCCTGGAGGCATAGTTTGGGCAACACCCTTCATCTACCTCACTGGGGTCTCTAGGGCAGCCTCAAAAGTGGACCGCCAGCAGTGGAAGGGCTTGGACCAGGCACCTGGCTCAGTGAACTCCCACTGCTCAGAGCTCTCAGCTGAGGCAGATGCATAGCCCCAAGAGAGGAGGGCAGGTGAGGAAGTAGGTGGTAGGAACCGGTAATAAACACTGCAGTGAAAAAGAGCTTCACCATCTAGAAAAATCTAAGGGCCATACAGCTGATAGATAATAACAGCTACAGCACCACCTAGTACAGAATCTGTGTGAAAAGGCTAGACAATTTTAACGAAAGAATCAAATATGCATTATGTTTCTAGCATCTGTGGAGATGCGTAGGGCCAATTCCACATCTTTATCAAAAGTCAAAATACAAGCTATCTAGCTATTGATAGGCAACAGTATAGGACAGGTTATTATTCTCTAAAGAACATGACTCATCTTGTGTCAGATGGTAACCCAAGTCTATAATACCAGCTACTCAAAGCTGAGGAGGGAAGATCTGAAATTCTAGGCCAGCCTGAGCAACTGTAATTTACATAGACCCTGTATCCATTCTTAGGAAAATCTAGGAAGTTAATAATGGATGTACCATAATTGATAGAGAAAATGCATTGAAGAAGAAATTGCTCCATCCAAAATACATTACAAAAGTTGTTTGGTAACATGCTTATAATGACAGCACTAGGGAGGCAATTCATGCACAGGAATTAAACTTGCTACCTAATTTCAAAACTAGCCCGATGCAACAAAAAAACAATACACTATCAAAGGGGGGGCTACTAAAAAGCCCAGAATGCATGGCAATGTTGAAACAGACAAATGACCCAGGCATGTGTAGCTTTTATTGTCAAAGTTTACATAAATAGTAAAATAGCAATGTTTGGATATATTTTTGCAGATTTATCTTCCATGCACAATTTTGGGAGACAGATAATCAACTACACAGTGGCCTCTACCCATGTTAAAAGTCAGAGATTGTTTAGAAGCCACACCAAGGACCAATGTATAATCTGTTACAGTCAGATTCAAACAATCATAGTGGATGGGGTATTTCACCATCCGGTATTTGGACAAGCCATTTCTGAAATACTTAACACTAATGGTTTCCTACTAGTTTCTCATGCTCAACTGTTTATAATGGAGGGATACTGTTGGTCCAAATCAGAGTGTAGTTATTGTTTTCACCCAATTACTGATACTGTTGTGGGAACAGACTGTTATCAGAGAAATAGATGACACCTTAAAATATTTTCTTTTTAACAATTTGTTTTGTAAGTATATGCATACATGTGCCAAGGTCAGAGGACAACCTTCCCAAGTCAGTTCTATCCTTCCACCATATGGATCCTGGGGATTAAACTAAGGAAAACAAGGTGTGCGGCAGATACCTTTGCCCCTGAGCCATTCCCTGAGTTTGGTCCATCACCTTGTTGTGGAGAGCCTTAAGCCATCTGGCATATCCCGGATTACTTCCTGTAAAATCCTCTCAGAAAAACCTTTGTATGTAAATGTATACTTAGTTTTTAATATGTAAGGATGAATGGAGAGACAGACACTGGGGGGGGCACAGGAGGACGACAGAGCTATATGATTCTCTATCCAATTGTCAAGTGTCTGGGCATTAATACTAATGATGAGTGCTTAGTAAACAAGTTGAGACCAAAACTGAGTGCATCATGTCATAAATAGGTCATTTTATAGCTAAAGTAACCAGTTTCCTGTAGACTGTATAAAAAAAAGTAACTTAAGTACTTCATATCCACCCCAACCCCCAACCCTGCCCTTTTTAAAGGCATAGTGTTTACCTGGCATGGGTTAATAGAACAAGAAGTTTATGTTTGAAGGACATTCCACAAGCTGACTTCCATTCAGCTTAGAACAGTGATACAAATCTATAATCGCAGAAATTGCAAAGTAAGAGCAGGAGGATCAGTTTAAGGCCATCCTCAGCTACATAGCAAGTTTGTGTCCACCTTGAGACATGAGAGTCTCTGTCTTAAAAGGGGGGGCACAGAACTCCTTCTTTCCACTTGTCTCAACCTAGTAAGTACAGGAATTACAAGCATGAACCATCCACATTCAACTTGTGCATTTGTCATGATGGTGCTTGGACCCTATTTGGAGTACCAAACAAATGCATTTCACATTTTAAATAACAATAAAATGTTAGCCAACTATGGTTCTGATATAGCTCGGATGATAGAACTCTTGTGTAGCAAGTAGGAGGCCTTAGGTTCAATCCCAGGTATCATGCATGGCTCGGTTTTGCATACTATCTATCTTTTATTACTATTATAAAGACTTGACTTAGGTAATTATATTTTAGATATTTATAGAAATCACATATGCTATCTGGGCATAATGGCTTATGTCTATAATCCAAGGAATTGGGAAGTTTAGTGAGGAAGATCACCATGTTCAAGACTAGCCTGGGCTATAGAGTGATATCTGTCTCATACTATTGCCCTAAAAAGTAAGAAAGAGACTACTGAGGACTTGCCCAACCTTATTCCTTATAACACAGCCATTCTGGAGGAAGCACTAAAGCAGCCAATTCAGATGGACATTTCATGTTGAGTTCGAGAATATATAAATGCAAACATATCTTCCTTTCACATTAGGTAGATTTTTAACATCAGATCCATCTGGTTATAAAATGAAAGCACAAAATCTGCCTGAATATTTCCAAGTGAGAACTAAAGGTAAGTATAAAACTTTCAATTTTAATTCTCAACTACAGCAGACCTCTGAAAGTATATCCAATGTCAATTTTTAGTTTTTGTTACTAGTGTCAGATTTTTGATACAGGGTCACCTTTGGTCATGCCAGTATGATTATGTGAACAGAGAAAAATAAAACCAGATCTCTCCTAAAGGAATCTGATAAAACTATTACTGTAAAATATACAAGAATAAAGAGCTGAGTGATAAACAGAGATGGTTCAGCAGTTAATATCGTTGTTTACTTTTCCAGAGAGCCATAATTCAATCCCCAGGACCCACATAACATTCACAACCGCCTGTAACTCCAGCTCCTTCAAGGGCATTACAACCAGAACTACACAGACATCCATGCAGATTAAAAAACTATACACATAAAAAGTTTTAAATAATATAAACTAAGAACTGAGGAAAACATTTCATGAACAAAGAGGGTTAACCTTATCTGGAAACTTTCAAAAACTTAAAGAAGTGTAATTTAGACAGCTACTCCCTGGGTGATATTGAACAACCTGAGAAATCAGGTTAAACCTCTAGGGAACCTGTTTTTGTTTCTTGAGATGAGCAACTCACTATGATGTCCACACTGGTCTTTGATGCTCTGGGCGGCCTCTTAAGTAACTGAGATATAGGAATGTGCTCCAGCTTCCAGTTTCTGACAGTTTCTTAGTGCCATTGGGAGAAGTTCTAAATTGCTGATGGCATAAGACTCTATGGGCTCGAACCCTTCCAGCTTACATTTCCATGTTCATCTCTCCTTATCTCCTGCCTTGCTGAACGTTTAGGTTCAGCATGCTGAGCTTTTTCTTACCTCCAACCATTAACATTAGCAGTTAGGACCTTCCCTGTTCTTTGGCTAATTCTCACCACTCCCAGTCTGAGTATAACTGGCACTTTCTCGGGAAAGTCCATCCAAACTATTCCACATCTCCCTGCTATGTGAATCCAAAGCATCCTGGAGGGCCTTACAAAAAAAATCAAGCCTGAAACACAGTAAATTATGTTTAACAAATGAAAGAGATGCAGAGAAATGATGCCCAAAAATGCAGCTGGTGCTGGATTGGACCTCAACAGGCTAAAGAGAATCTCCGCTGGACCTCAGCAATTCTACATAGAAATCCATCACATATATACACAGGTGTGAGCTCTGCTTTACTCTGTTTCATAGGAAAGAAACTGTTCTTCAGTGTGGCTACAATGTGTGTTACTGTGGATAACCCTTCTGTACAGTGTGAATATGTATTACTCTCACTGGTTAATAATAAAACTGATTTGGCCTATACCTAGTCAGAATAAGGCTAGGGGGAAAGCTAAACTGAAAATACAGACAGGAAGAAGCCGCCAGAGGAACAAGAAGTGCTAGAGGACAGGTCAAGCCACAGCCATAAACCACACAGCAAAATGCGGATTAATAGAAATGGGTTAATTTAAATTATAAAAGCTAATTAGTAATAAGTCCGAGCTATAGGCCAAGCATTTTGTGATTAAGCTTTTGTGTGATTATTTGGGACCAGGGAATCAGAACAGGAAAGCTCCACCTCCATTTACAGTGTAGGCACAGAATAGGGGCTTACTTTAATAAGCGAATTGCATGGCTGAAGCCATCACCTTCTACTTGCACTCCTTGATGTGGTATCTCCAGGTTGGACAACTGGAACGAGAAAAGGCATTAAACTGTAGTATTAAACTGTTTATTTTACAAAAGAAACCAGCTTTTCTCTGCATCTTATCTATTTTCATCCCATGTATTCTAGGGCCAGTGTTTCTCAAAGTGACAAATTATCAGGCATGAACCCTGTTCTTATCAATAGACTTCCATGGAACCTATAGTAAGGCAAGTGCAAGGCAAAGGAGCTTCAGCCTCTTTAGCTTAAAGAAAATCTCCACAGTAGACAAGTCTTCAAAATTCAGGAGACAAGACCACTCATTTTTACAACAAGCTAAAAGTAATCCAAAATCAGTTCAAGTAGTTCCAAATGAAGCAGCAACTGGTCTTATTTGTAATTCTACCGTATGATCAAAATGAAACTAATGTCGGGCAAATGTAGGCTAAAACTCACTCAGTGGAGCTCCAAGATAGGAAGGCATGCCAGAAGGTCCTCTAACAGAGCAAAGCAATGGCTGACCCCAGTAAACAAAGGCAAGTCTTCTATGACAAGATTTTTACATACCCTGTTCCAACAATGATTTAAATGTTTGTCTACCCTACTTTAAGGATCAAAAAGAAGAGAATTTTACAAAGTAAGCTAATTGATAATGGAAGTTCAGACTCAAAAGCAAAGTGAGAACATCTCAAAAAATGACTTGCTATCAAGAGAGAAACACTGCTAATAAAATGACAGGTGGTCATTCACAGCATAGTGTACATTATTATGTAAATGGGAAATTTGTTTGTCTTGGTTTTAATATATCTACCATTTTGAAGGAGAGATTATAGTTAAGTTTTTAAGAGCTTAAATGAATTCAAGCAAGGACTGTAGGAAGTTCCCATGTGTACAGCATGTATGGATCACAGGAGGACAAAGATACCTGTGCACAAGCATCAGTCAGTCCCATGTACATCTGCAAAAAAGCATATATTTCTGCCAATTCTGGCCTATGCAGCAATGCATTGCATTGCCCCAAAATCACATATCTACTCTCTTCTTACCATCAAGGTAATAATTGAGTGACACTCCTATAATCAATTCAAATGATAAGATCAAAGAGGAAGAACACACTAAGTAAATTTGAAGCATGGATAGTGTTCCATATAATACAGGAGCAGAGGCTAGTTACTACCCTCCGCAAATCCCTTCTATTGAAAATATAAAAAACACAAGTTGAAAAAAATGGAGCTACGGAGCTGAAGAGATGGCTCAGGATTTAAGAGCAGTGGCTGCTTTTGCAAAGGAGCTGCCAGCTAAAAACTGTTTGTAACTCCAATTCTAGGAGTTATACAAGACACCAATGCATACACATTAAAAAAAAACCTAATAATAATAAAAGAAAAAAAAGAGGTTGCAGCTGGCACAATGACGTATGACTGTAATCCCAGCACAGAAAAGTAAATTAAAACCACAAGGAAGTAAAGTTTATCCTTAGCTACATAGCAAGTTTAAGGCAGCCTACACTATGTAAGACCATTTTTCAAAAAACAAAACAAAAGCAGAGTGGTTATCCCCTTTTATGTTCACATTTGGAAATGATGGTAGATATTACAACAACATATTCTTTTTTAATGATTTATTTTTATGTTATGTGCATTGGTACCCTGGAGGTAAAGTCATAGATAGTGGTGAGCTGCCATATGGATGCTGGGAATTGAACTGGATCCTCTGGAAGAGCAGTCAGTGCTCTTAACTGCCCAGCCATCTCTTCAGTCTGATTTTGCATTAGTCAACTGCTTCTTCTATAACACCAAAGTAAATATTTAGTCTAATATTTTTCAAATTTACCTCTCAGAAATGATCCAGTGTTATTAGTACTCAAACAACACGTATTACTTTAACAACTCAAAGAGCCATTCCTTATTAACTATCCATTTATGATAAACATAAACAATGTTCCTACTATGAAGTAGAAAACGTTAATTCTTTGTTCTTTACTTTTTTTTTCAACACAGGGTATTTCTGTGTAACAGTCATGGCTGTCCTGGAACTCACTTTGTAGACCAGGCTAACCTTGCAATTAATTGAAATCTGCCTGCCTCTGCCTCCAGAGTGCTGGGATTAAAGGGTGCACCACCACTGCCCAGGAAAGATGCTAATTTTTAACAGTTGTCTACTTTCGTTCATTGGGAAGAATTTAATTTCCATTATCTAAAAAGAAGAATTTGAGGTGATGGAATGGGAAACAAGAGAAATGTGTGGACCTAAGACCAGTTCTCCTGCTAGAGCCATGCAACTTGAGTTAACACTTGAAAATTTCCAACTCACCTCCAATCGAAGTCCTACAAATGGCATGTTGGTATCGCACATAGCGACAAAATGAGCTAGTACTTTATTGAAGGCACACATTTCTCCTGATCGTTTGGCTTTCTTGCATTCTACCGGACATGGGTCATCAGACAACTAGAAATTTAAAGAACATTTTAAGAAACCGTATGAAAAATTACGAGTGACACAATCCATGAAAGCAATGGAAGCTCTACAAGAAAGCTCAGGGCTAACCCAGACAAATGTGACTCTAAAGAAAGCGTATTGAACAAACCCTAACCCAGACACAAGTAGTTTGTAAATATTTTATGTTTAACAACTTCTTTTCTGGAAAATTACCAATTTAAAACAAAAGCATTTGGTCAAATGTGGTAGTACACATCTGTAATTCTAGTACTCAGGAAGCAGAACCAGAAAGATTATGAATTTGAGGCCAGCCTAGGCTACAAAGAAAGGTAACATGACAAAAAACTGTTCAAAAGAGGGGGGTTGGGAATGTGTCCCAGTAGAAGCGTGCTTGCCTAGAACGCACAAAGCTCTGGGTTCCATTTCTAACACCGTCCCTACTCTCAAAAAAGGACGAAGTATTTTTAAGAAAATGTGGGTAACTGTTTCAGTGCTGCCCTGTACCTTAAAGAGAACATTTAATTCTTTTCTGTTTAAAAATAATAAAACTAAGCATGGTACCATATGCCTGTATACCTAGCACTTGGGAGGCAGGGGCGGGAGGATATAAATTTAGAAGACAGAATTAGTAACATAGCAAGTCAGAGACAAGCCAAATCTATACAGGAAGACCAGACCGCAAAAATAAAAGAGGCAGTCAGGCATGGTGGTGCATGCCTTTAATCTCAGCATTCAGGAGGCAGAGGTAGACAGATCTCTGAAATCGGACTCTAGTCTGGTCTATATCTGGGGCTACGCAGACAAACCATGTTAAAAAAGAACAAAAAGAACAAAAGAGTAATAATAAAAATTTAAAAAGTACAATAAAATGGGATGGGAGTTGCAAAACCATTAATACAAATAAACCCTGTGCTTCTATGTGACCTCACCTTGTGCTTGGTACCAGTTCTGGTCTGCTTCCCAGTCTTTGTATAAGAAATCAAGTCCTGGATGTTGTCCTTGAACTGCTGCAGCAGCAGTGCCATAACAGGGCTGTCTTCACGGTCTGCAGTACTCACAGACATGAAGTAATACTTGTATGATAGCTGAGTGGGCTTATTGGGAACCTCAAGCATTTCTACAACCTAAAATAACCCAAATCAGAAAGAAGAATAAGAACCCTTGTACATTTTCCATCTTATATCAAGTGTACTTTGGAATTGTTGTTTAAAAAGACATCTGAATTAGATTTATAAGAAAAAAGCCACAATATTTTTTAAAGAACCATTCTTAGTTAAGTATATAATCTGTCTTCTAAAAAATAGCAATGGCAAAAATATCGTTAAGAGTAAAAGCAACAATAAACACAAGAAATGAACCCTGAGTTTTGAACTGAAAAATGTGATTGCTCTGGGTACAACGTGAACAAGCAGCAGTGCTGAAATGAAGGCTAACCGTGCCAGTGCTGTCCTATGTGCCTCCTAAGAGTACCAATGAGGAGCCATAGCTTGTCTTTATTTTTGTGAAATAATGACATAAAAAACCTTATCCAGGGTCACACAGTTGCTTTTCCCCCCCCCCTAGAAATTACACTGGATATGCCTTTCTCTTACCCACTATGAGAACTAAAAAAGATAGAACATGAGGACATTTAATGGATAAATCCATATCCTTACTGAGACAAAGGTTATAAAATCTATACTACACACACACAAAAAAAAGTTCTGAGGCAGGTGTGGTAGGTCAGGACTTTAATCCCAGGTATTTGTGAAGCTAAAGCAGGAAGATTAGGTTTAAAACCTGTGGATGGAGAGATAACTCTAGGTTAAGAGCACTAGCTTTTCTTCCAGAGGACCTGAGTTCAATTCCCAGTACCCACATGCAGCTAACAACTGCAACTCCAGACTCAGGAGATCATACCTCCTCTTCTGGCTTCTACAAACATGCTGTGTACAAACATACATGTAGGCAACCATCAACATTAAAAACACACAAAAGTTCAAGGCCTGCCTTGCTACAGAGCTGTGTTCAAGGAACTTGCACAAGTTAGTGAAACCTTGTCTCTAAAAGTAAAAAAAAGGGCTCAGTGGTAAATGGCTTCCCTAGCATGTGTGAGATCTGGAGTCAATCCCCAGCAGCGCCTACCTAATAATAAAAAACCTCATCAAATACTAAAAAGCACAGACTTTCATAGTATATATTTACATCAAAATAGAAGTGATCAACAAATAGAAAGGGGGGGGGGGGGGTAAATACTATACTTACAGATTCATAGTCACCTAAATCCAAGCAAGTATTTATGACACCAAACTCCTCTAAATCTTCACAATAGTTATTTATAGTTAATTGCACTCAATTGTTTACATTTAACCAAAGAGATACTTAATTCCAATCAGAAACCAAGCTTCTCTTGTCTACCATGAATAAAGCCTCCCCAAGAACCTAGGTCTCATTATGGTAGAGGCAGTAGGGTGAGAGATGAAAACTACCTTACATTTCTCAGCAGAGACCTGACTACTTTTCTGCCTTCATTAGTACTCCTTGTGTTGAAAATCCCTATGTGAAAGTCAGGTACTAAGCAAAATTCACTTGCAAATGAAATTAGACAAGACAGCTTTCTGAATACATCCAGACTTAGTCAACTTGTTCACTCCCAATCATGCTTGGCATACTTACAATGTAGTACTGTGGAAGACGGGTAAGTTTAATAAACAGCTTATTCTTAGAAAGGTTTCCAATGGGATGTGTTGAATAGTTAGAAAGCTGTAACGTTTCAGTGGTTATTGTAGGCAGATGCTTTATAGATTGTTTGCAACGCTGTTGTCCAAGCCAAAACCTTAATTTAAAAAGATAATCCACATCATTAAATCAGGGGTTAACCCTATGCCACTGATTTATAAACTAAAAAAAAAACTAAAGAATAACTGAAATTTAGTCAACAGCCACATGATCAAATCAATAAGTCATTTCTATAGTCTTATATTTGGTTGCTAATTCTACTTCTACCATAAGAAATTTAAACTGCACTGTGAATAATATGATTTGGGGGAAAGAAAAATGAACTATAAGCCTAAAAGTATAGCTTAGTTTATCATACAGAATGCCAGATTCCCAAACCTAAACTCAACATCTTTCATAAGAAACCTAAAACAAGCTGGGAGATATATGATACCATACGTCTTTAATCCCAGCACACGGGAGGCAGAGGCTGCAGATCTCTGTGAGTTGAAGGAAAGCTTAGTCTACAAAGTGAATTCCAGGACATCCAGGGATATACAGAGAAACCCTGTCTGGGAGGGGGGAATACACACACAAAATGTGGGGAAATCATATCAGCTGCTTAGTGTCAAACAATCAGCCCTGAAAACATACATTTAAAGTATATGGCCTTCACTGGTTATATTTAGGAACATGTATGTATACATGAATACAATAACAATTAGTGAGAAAAGAGGCCAGGAATTTGAAGGGTAAATGGGAGTTCTTGGAGGGAGGTATATTATAATCTAAAAAATGAAATAAATAATCTAAAGAGCTCATAAAATAACAAACAAGCATAAAACACTATTTCTGCTCTCATCATTGTAGACATAAGCCCTGTTTTAGAAAAAGTATGTGTAACTGCCCTCCTCCCTCCCTCCTTTTCAAGTAAGACACTGGATTTTGATGAGTTTGCTACACCCAGCAGCCATCCTGTGGCTAAGATAACATATAATTTAATATACGAACAAGAGATAACACACTGATTCACTCTTACTGATGCACAAAACACAAAACAAGGACTTTCACAGCAATATAGCAATGCCAAAAAGGCCTAACTAATTAAGAGCATACAGGCTCCACTTACTGAATAGGGTATAGGTTAGTTTGGGGAAAAGTGCTCTACCAAGACCTACATGTGGTACAAATGGTGTGCTAACCATGTTCATTGAAACTGCGAGAATATATTACATCTTTTTTTTTGGAGGGGGAGCTAAGATCAAGTGTAGAATATATTACATCCTAAGGACAGTTTGCCAGCTCAACCAAAAGTGAAATGTGGGGGGAGGGGAGGTTCCTTTGATTTGTGTTTGTTTTTTGTTTTTGTTTGAAAACATATTCTGACCATGTAGCATGGTGGGCCTACAACTCACTATGTAGATCAGACTGGCCTCTGAATGTCTCTGGCTGCAGAGTCCTGGAAATATTGTTTTCATCATTAAAACCTATCTAACATTTAATTACAACTTTAAAGGATCAACTGAAGAAATAATGTTAAAAGTATATCATTTGCTTCATTTTGGGTAAAAGTTGTAAGTGGATATCTATGCCAACCCAAATTATTTGAGACTGTTAAGTCTACTAAAGTTCTTAAAAGAAAAACAGAGGAGCAATTAAGAAACACATATTGTCGCCGGACATTGTTGGTGCACGCCTCTAACCCAGCACTCTGGAGGCAAAGGCAGGAGGATCTCTGTGAGTTTGAGGCCAGCCTGGTCTAAATAGTGAGTTCCAGGACAGCCTTCAGCCTTCAGAACAATACAGAGAAATCCTGTCTTGAAAAACCAAAAAAAAAAAAAGAAAAAAGAAAAAGAAAGAAACACATATTGTCTCCAAATATTCCCTCTCTCCCTCCCTCCTTCACTCACTCCCTCTCTCTCTGATTAGTTACATCAGCTCACCTATGTAAGGCACAAATGAAAAACAAGCTCACTGTCACTTTAAAAATCCTAAATAGCTGAACAGTGGTGGTGCGAGACGTTAATTCCAGCACTCAGAAGGCAGAGGCTACCAAGCAAATTTCTGTGAGTTCAAAGTCAGCCTGGTCTACAGCTAGGACTGTTATATAGACAAAACCTGTCTTAAAAAACAAAACTCAAAATAATAAATATTAATACACAAGTAGTCTTTTAAAATACACGTGGAATTACTATTTCTTTTTTTCCCCTGGGACAAAGTCTTACTAAGCATCCCATTCACAATCCCCTATTCTCAACATTCTGAGGGCTGGGCTGGAACAAGAGTCTTATTCATATTCCTAGCTTACTATTTCACCCTTGAGTTTTCGTATGATGCTGTAGAAAAAAAAATTTCTGTGTGAGCTTTATACAAATTTCCTATAAACATTTCAATGAAAAAATGTCCAGCTTCTGTAATTATTCCCTAGGTTATGTTTGTTTGGTTTTATTGGAGTATATGTAACTTTATATCTGTTGATTCTAATAATTAAAAAGTTGGGGTTTACATTTTATATGTGCCTGTTTTAGGTTTTGTTTTTAGGGTTGGTCTTTTAGGGATTAGGATCCCCAATATGTACCTCTGATTGACCTGGAACTCACTTTGGAGACCAGGTTGAACTCATACTCAGTGATATTCCTGACTCATGCCAAGAGGCATGTGCCACCACACCCAGTTGTTTCTTTTATTAGAATCTGTTTTGTTGCATAATACAAAAATAGCCTGTAAACCAGCTGCTCAATATCATTAACCATTAAGGCAAAGTACGCTAAGATTTCCATGAGGTACCTCTTACCACCAAAGATACTAACAAGTGTAAAAAACATACAAAAACAGAAACCCTCATATGTTGACTGAATAGCAAAGTGACACACCTAAGTTGGAAAACAGGTTGAAAAATTCTTTCAAAAGTCAAACATAATTTTTACTCAGTAATTCCACCGTTTGGTCAAGAGAAAAGGAAAAGATCACACAGGACTGTAGTTATTCACATCAGTAAAGAAGTATAACAACCCCATTTACTACAACCCCAAGTTACTATAGAATAAAGAAAATATGGTACATTCATTCAGTGGAATATTATATAAGGATAAAATACCAGTACATGCTATAACATAAACCTTGAAAATATAAGTGGAAGAAGCCAGTCAGAAATCACATAGTTTATGCTTCTATTTATATAGTAAGTCCAAAACACTAAATTTCCAGAAATAATTTGTGGTTACCTAGGGCTAGCAATGATTAACTGTACATGGACAACAGAATGATGCTAAATAAACATTTTACAACTAGATTGGGGCAACAGTTGTGAAACGTAGTAAATTTAATGAAAATTGGTTGATTGTATGCTTAGAGTCAGTTCATTTTATCACATTTAAATAGCACCTTAGAGGGCTGAGAGATGGCTCAGCGTTTAAGAGCACTGACTACTCTTCCTGAGGACCCAAGTTCAATTCTTAACACCCACATGGCAGCTCACAACTGTCTGTAACTCCAAGATCTGACACACTCACATAAACATACATGCAGGAAAAACATCAATACACATAAAATAAAAATAACTAAGTTTTAAAAATAGCATCTCAGCTGGATATGGTCGCACACACCTTTAATCCCAACACATGGGATGCAAAGGTTGGAGGATCTGTGAGCAGCAGACCAGATAGGGCTACACACTGAGATCCTGCAAAAATAAGTAAGGAAAACAATAGCTCAAAAAGTTTCTACAAATTAGTCATCTCCTGATAGATTACTAATGACCTGGCTATTTATAATGAATCATTTGAGAAGCACTATCGTAAGTAAAATCAGAACTTACAAAATTATGTGAGTTATAGACATACATTTGATAAGTAAATGCTTTGCAGGATTTTGCATTTTGGTTTTAGATAGTACTACTTCTTATACCTACAACAGTGATAAACAACCTCAAATTAAAGAGGACATGAATTACTAAGCATATTAAAACTTGTGTTTGTTCATAAATGTACAAACATGAAACTAGAATCTTAAAAACTGTTACATAGATTGCAATGAAACAGCTCATACATAAATCTATCTATTGAATAATAAAATTATCCTCTAGTGTTAATAAAATTACTTGATGATGAATTTTTATAAAACTAGGGGTTTGGGATATAGCATGGTACTTGCTAGGCATGCCCAAAACCCTTGGTTCTATCCCTAGCACTACATAAAAAAAAGAATGGAATTCCAGCACTTGTTAGATATTGAAAGATCAGAAGTGTGAGGTCACCCTTGACTAATCAGAGTATTGCAGGCTGGGCTACTTAAATGTTGTGCCCTCCCCCAAAAGGATAGAAACCATTCTGACAGGAGTGAGATGGTATCTCAGAGTTGTTTTGATTTGCATTTCCCGGATGGCTAAGGATGTTGAGCACTTTCTCAAGTGCCTCTCAGCCATTTTAGACTCCTCTATTGAAAACTCTCTATTTAGTTCTGCAGCCCACTTTTTAATTGGGTCCTTTGATGTTTTGGAGACTTGCTTCTTGAGTTCTTTGTAAATTTTGGAGATCAACCCTCTGTCAGATGGGGGGTTAGTGAATATTATTTCCCATTCTGTGGGCTGCCTTTTTGTCTTGCTGACTGTGTCCTTTGCCTTACAGAAGCTTCTCAGTTTCAGGAGGTCCCATTTATTAATTGTTGATCTCAGTGTCTGTGCTACTGGTGTTATGTTCAGGAAGCTGTCTCCTGTACCAATTCGTTCAAGGGTACCACCCACTTTCTCTTCTAAGAGGTTCAGTATGGCTGGATTTATGTTGAGGTCTTTGATCCATTTGGACTTAAGTTTTGTGCATGGCGATAAACATGGATCGATCCGCATTCGTCTACATGGCAGTCTCCAGTTATGCCAGCACCATTTGTTGAAGATGCTTTCTTTATTCCATTGTATATTTTTACCTTCTTTATCAAAGATCAGATGTTCGTACGTGTGTGGGTTAATACCCGGGTTTTCAATTCGATTCCATTGGTCTACCTGTCTATTTTTGTGCCAATACCAAGCTGTTTTCAGGACTACCAGACAAAGGTTAACTCTTGAATCCCAGGCATCAACCTGGGAATCCAGCATGGGACTGATCAAGACCCCCTGAATCTGGGTGTCAGTGAGGAGGCCTAGGTAATCTATTGAGCCTTGGGCAGCAGATCAGTACCCATCCCAAGTATACACACGGTCTTTGGACTCCCATAGAACAATGTGAGGTGCACTCTCACCCTGAACTCTTGGGGAAGGGTCTAGGCCCTGCCCTATATGAAATGACAGACTATGGACACCCCCATGGAGGGCCTCACCCTCCCTGGGGGAATGAGGGGATAACGGGGGGGGGGGGTTGGGGGGAGGGCACGGGAGGAGGGGAGGGAAAGGGAGAGGGACCTGGAACTGACTTGTGAAGCAACCTTGTTTCTTATCTAAATTTAAACTGGAAAATAAAATTAAAAAAAGGATAGAAACCAGAAGTAGCAAAAGAAGATGCTGAAAACACACACACACACACACACACACACACACACACACACACACACACACACACACAATTCCATTGAACAATCTTCCCCTTCTTTTTTTTCCATTTAACAGCCTGGAGGCTTGCTCTGTACCACTCTTCTTGATCATATATATGTGGTACTCATGGCAAGCATCCTGCCTCAATATCCTAAGTACTGGTATTAAAGATTGTAGGTACATGACAATGCTTGCCTTGACAATTTCAGTTTTTATCTCTGAAACTAGTTTTTATTCCATGGAATCTTAAAAACATTTTAAAGGTTTTAAGTTGGACATGGTGGTTCATATCTTAATCCCAGTAGTTGAGAAGTAGAAGAAGAAGCATCAGGAGTTCAAAGCCTGTCTCAGCTACATAGTAGTAACTCTGAGGCAGGCCTAGGTTATATGAGACCCTGTATCAAAAATAAAAATAAATGAATAATAAGAATTCTTTGAGTGGCCGGGCATTGGTGGTGCACGCCTTTAATCCCAGCACTCAGGAGGCAGAGGCAGGCAGATCTCTGTGAGTTCGAGGACAGCCTGGTCTACAGAGTGAGTTCCAGGACAGCCTCCAAAACAAAACAGAGAAACCCTGTCTCGAAAAACAAAACAAAAACAAACAAAAAAAGAGAATTCTTTAAGTGAGGGAGTGGTGGCACACACCTTTAATCCCAGAATTTGGGAGGAAAGGCAGGCTAATCTCTATTGAGTTTGAGGCCATTCTGGGCTACAGTGCTAACTATAGAATAGCTAGGGCTGTTATACGGAGAAACCCTGTCTTGAAAAACCAAGAAAAAAAAAAACAAAAAAAAAACTGTTTTGAGCTCGATGATGGTGGCCCACAACTTGAATCCCAGAGAGAAACCCTGCCTGTGGGGTGGTGTTAGAATGGAACATCAGTGTAGCCAGAGTGCTAATGATAGCCCAGATAATCTCTGGTTCTGTTAACAGGGTGATTTTGAAACAAACTAAATGGCAATGTTAGAGAAAATGGAACAACTGTTTTGATTCTGTCCGTTGAGAGACTAATACCACAAAGATTCTGGATAAGAACAAATAGCATTCTACTAGAGGACACGGTACAAATATTTATTAAGTGATGTTTGAATTGTGTGTTCTAAGAAAATCTGGCAAGGAATGATAGTTTAGTGCCATGCCCCTCTGACTACCATTGGATCTAGAGGGGAATCTGATATGAGTGGGGATAGTACTGGATGTATTCCAAGGCATTTTAGAGGCCAAGGCACCAAAAGATGCTCAGATTTCATGTCATGAATTTTAAGGACAGTGACAGATTAAGATTAATGATGGAGAAGAAAATAAATCCTGTCAAGATAGGTTTCGCTTTTTAGTCTTGAGCTAAATTAAGTAAGCTTACTTAAGTTGCTGAATCCAAGGGATGATCCGCTTCATGTCATCATTTACACACTTTTCCATGTCCTCCAGAGTGGTCTGGTCTATAAAATAAACAATTCATTAATTCACTGCTTACAAGCAAAGTCTTTATCCATGTAGCAATAATTTAAATGAATTTTTTAAAGGCAGAAACCCATGCTATCAATCAACGTGCTTTTCCTCCTACATACTCCTTTGGCAAGAGCAAGTAGCAAATATATAAACAGTGCTTGACACATTAAGAGTTTTAACTATTTTAAGAGCTAAATTGCATTTGTATCTTATAAGCACATAAAACTCATAAAATTGCTAGACTTAGAACCATAGTCTAACCAAAAAGAAACCACGGCTTATTGAAATACTGCTTTTTACAGCATACAAATGACCAAGCATACACATAAGGAAGACCCGTTGTCTAAACAACTGGCTTGCTAAATGTAGTCCAATTTTTTAGCAACAGCAGAAAGTATGTAAAACACTAAGCAAAAAAGAAGGCACAAAGTAATTTTAACTAACTGGATCAAAATCTAGAAAAAACTATAGACAAATAAAAAGCCATTATGGTGTACTATGCCATGCCCCCACCTCTCAATTCTTATACTGAAGTCCTTATCTCTACTGCATCACTGTTCCAAAGGTGGCTTTTGTGAGGCAGCTAGTTTCGGAAGGGGTCATGAAGAAAGGATAATCAGGACAACTAGTATCTCTATGAGCAGTTCTCAACCTGTGGATCACAACCCTTTTCACATTGGGTCACTATCAGATATCCTGCATATCAGGTATTTACATTATAATTCATAACAGTGGCAAAATTACAGTTATGAAGTAGTGATGAAAACAATTTTATGGCTGTGGCAGTTGCTACAACATGAGGAACTGTGTTAAAGGGTTGCAGCATTAGGAAGGTTGAGAACCATTTTTGCTCTACAGGAATGGACAGTATGCATCCCTGTGGGAGCAGTCAGGAGTGAAGCCCACACTAAAACTAACTACACTTTGAGAAAATACATTTCTACTGTATCTTGTTATAGCATCTTGACCTTTATGTACAAAAAATTATGTTCTACCCCTTTTTGTTTACATGTGCTTTTCTGAGTATTTGCTGTTAATGATTAAGAAAATAGACAAAGAAAAGACTGAGATGGGAAAGGCTACCAAAGGTACATGGGGTGGTGCAGCCATGGCTGGGGCATGGCTGTAGCCAGCTATTACAAGTCAGCAGTGGGCCACAAGCCTATCCTCCCAGCTAGAGGTGCTGGTGTGGTAGACTCACTAGCTTCAAGGTCAGCCACCTCCTACTGAGGTAGCTGATGGACCTGGCCAAAGTATAGTAAGCTGTGGGTAAGCTAACCCACACCACAGCCATTGCTGATGCCAGGACTTATTTGGATCATGTCTGATCAAACGCATGCCAAATGTGCCCATGTTCACTGGTATATGAGGGAAGAGATGGAGAAAGGAAGATTTTTCTGCAGCTGGTGAGGATGTGGCTACCCTAGAGATTATTTTGGAATGGATAATGATGAGAGAAGGATAAAGAGTATTAACCAGACGATATAATTTCAGTGCTTCCTTGGGATTGCCTGTTGTTATGTGGAACTATCTGTGGTATCCTGAGAAACAAAAGTAATGTTTTCATTTTAAATGGGTGTGTTGAGGGGAGCTTTAAAAAACAAACCTCTGTCATATGCCATTATCTATCAGATATGTGATTCAAAGTCCTGTTTTCCATGAGCTGCTAATATAGTTCTTACAAATATCACTTTTTGTTTGCTTTTGGTTTTTTTGTTTTTATGTTGTTTATGTTTATTCATAAAAGCAGACAGACATACACGAATTCTTACACTGAATGACTACATTTTGCAACTTACCAAGTCCATAAAGCATCAACTGGAACATTCCAGAATGCAAATCTACAAAAATGTGTAGGCACTCTGAATTACCGCAAGGCTCCAAGATGGGAACAATGAGAGCTGGAAGTGCAGTCTCTATGGAAGCTGAACAGTTAAGAATTAAAAATTATTTTTCAATCTGAATATTTTCACAAAATGATTGTTCAATGAGTACAAAGAAAGGTCTGAATATAGAAGAAAAGATAATTCTACAAAGTTTGGAACTGAATCATAGCATCAATTAATAGTAGCTGTAATAGAAAAAATGTCATTTTTTAGTTGATTTGTAAAAGACATATCTAAAAAAACAGAACAAATAATTCAAAATCCCATTAAAAAGGTTACTCTATCTAATAAAAGAACAATCACATCAGTTATCTGAGTTATTTCTATCAAGTTTAATAAGTCAACTTTTAGAGATTTTCTTAATTAGTTGAAAAATGAAGGAAAAAGTTTAATATACAAATTTTATTTATAGCCCAAAAGATTATTAATGTAATTTTTATTTTAAAGATTTTCTTTTTGTTCTGACAGCAAAGAGTTCATGTTTTTCAAGAAGCACTTAAAAACTATTCACCATTATGCCAGGTGGTGGCGTATGCCTTTAACCCCAGTACTTGGGAGGCAGAGGCAGGTGGATCTCCGTGAGTTCGAAGCCAGCCTGGTCTACAAGAGCTAGTTCCAGGACAGCCTCCAAAGCTACAGAGAACCCCTGTCTCAGATAAAACAATGAACTGTTCACCATTACATGGAAACTTCTTTTGTATACCTCATTTTCAAAGCCCAGATGAGAGGAGAACATAGACAATTACTACAGTCAAACCTGCAAGGCTGACAATATACTCAGTCTAAGTGTTTTGTGGTACTTCTTTTAACTTGTCCTTTAATCCCCAATAAAGCATAATAATGAAACCCAGTAATTCAAAACACAGTAAATACCACTCAGGTTGAGGATGGCGAAAGAAACGTCTTGCCCAATGATATGCCTCAAAAGGCCTGCCTTCCAACAGGTATCAACCCTCTGTATTATTTTATCAAATAAGAACATTAGTTTCTCTGCTGTGGAACACCCTTTATACTGAGTGAAAATTTGTCACTCAGATTGGTTTAATAAAAAGCTGATTGGGCCGGGTGGTGGTGGTAGAGGGAGCACTCAGGAGGCAGAGGCAGGCGGATCTCTGTGAGTTAGAGGTCAGCCTGGTCTACAGAGTGAGTTCCAGGACAGCTTCCAAAGCTACACAAAGAAACCTTGTCTTGAAAAGAACAAAACAAAATTTTAAAAAAGCTGATTGGCTGGTAGCAAAGCAGGAATTATACGTGGAACAACCAAACTAGGAGAATGATGGGAAGAAGGGTGGAGTCAGAGGAGATGCCAGTCAGTCACTGAGAAAGCAGCATGTGTAGAAAATGAGGTAACAAACTATGAGTCACATGACAAGGCATAGATAAGAAATATGAGTTAATTTACATTTAAAAGTTAGGCAGTAACAAGCCTGAGTTATTGGCCAAGCATTTATAATTCACATTAAGTCTCCATATTGTGTAGGAGATTATAGGTCTGAGCCACCATGCTCAGCCTGGTGTTCTTTATGAATCACAGAAATGGTCTACCACCTCTTATGAATTTGTAATATTTAAAATGGGTGAAGATACCACTGATACCATCTACATAAATAAAATATAAATGAAATTAATAAGGTAAAAAGCTGAAGGGACTAAAAAAGCTTTATAATATTTTATAAATCAACACCAATGCAACAAATTAGTTCAAAACAATAGTGTTGGCCGGGCGTTGGTGGCGCACACCTTTAATCCCAGCACTCGGGAGGCAGAGGCAGGCGAATCTCTCTGTGAGTTTGAGACCAAGCTGGTCTACAAGAACTAGTTCCAGTAAAACCTGGTCTACAGAGCAAGTGACAGGATAGGTTCCAAAGCTACACAGAGAAACCCTGTGTCAAAAAACCAAAAGCCAAACCAAAACAAAATAATTGTGTTTTCTGACTGTATTATATTACACAGTATAATAAAAATATTTACAGTTTATGAAGCAGGGCTGCTGACCATGTGTGTATTTATGTGGCACTGAAAACAGAACCCAGAGCCTTACACCATGCTAAGTTCATAACCTTCAACTAAGACATCAACTGAAGCCAGGCGTTGGTGGCGCACGCCTTTAATCCCAGCACTCGGGAGGCAGAGGCAGGCGGATCTCTGTGAGTTCGAGGCCGGCCTGGTCTACAGAGCGAGTTCCAGGACAGCCTCCAAAGCCACAGAGAAACCCTGTCTCGAAAAACCAAAAAAAACAACAACAACAACAACAAAAAAAGACATCAACTGATAGAGGCTACTGATTTTTAAAACATTTCCATACAGTTATAACTTATAACTGGGCACAGAGCAATATTCTTTAAAGCAAAATCATTTTTAAACTATAATAAAATATAATTGGTAATTTGTAGTTTTATAACAATTATAATTTTAAACTAATTATCAAAGTTGAATAATTTTGTGTAGACAGCATCAGAAAATATACATCCAACATAAAATAACATTTCTGGATATATTCTATGGTGGAATCATATTTGATTTTTTAAGAAAATGAAGAGAAATATGAAAGCTATGCACAATTAAAAATGGTTATTTAAGGTGGGGGATGGTGGCACACAGATGCAGGCAGATCTCTTGAGCTGGAAGCCAGTCTAGTCTACAGAGTGAGTGCCAGGACAGCCAGGACTACACAGAGAAACCCTGTCTCAAAAAACGAAAACAAAAACAGTAGTTTGTAGTAAAATGCTTCCACCTGACAATGCCAATTCAGGTCTAGCGGGTAGAGACACTCAAGACAACACTAAGAACTGGCCATATCATATCTCCCTGCCTTGCACTATTTTGGTCTTCCCTACACATGGTTTCCCCTGAGGCAACTCCACCCCCATGAAAGCACACACTTCTATCTGTGCCGTCCCAAAGCCCTGCAGCTATGCCTTCTCCTGGCTCTTTCTTGAAATGCTCTAATCTCTAAATTACTCACTTCAGGCTATTCCAGTTAGGAATCAGGAGAAAAGTAAACTGATTGAGAGCCAACAGCACTAACATATCAAAGAATGGACTATAACACCTTAATCCCAGCACTCATTTGGAGCAGAGACAGGACTATCTCTGTGAGTTCCATATTAGCCATGGCTATACAGTGAAACTGTCTCAAACAAATACAATTTATACCCTAAGTGGTGGGTAAATAGACCCTTTTCCTTGGGAGTCCTAATTTCAGAAAAGGGCTGATAAACAGGACTTGAGGTACCAATCTCAAAAGCAAGCTCATTAGTCATCTCCAAATCACAGTTCCTGGAATGCTATTCTCAAACACTTGACCCTAGGAACAAGGGCTTGAAACCACATGTTTCTACTGGAACTAGAGATCTAGAAAAAAAACTTATGCTAACAATAGCTTCCAACTTGAGTTGGAGAATGGGGCCCAAAGCATGTATATAACATGTTTGAGAATATGCAGCTAAACTCAGATCTTCTGGTAGTCAGTAGAGACACCTCTACAATATGCATGAAAGAGAAATTATGAGAACTTAAATCAGTACACCAAACCATTACCACCCAAGATTATGTTTTAGAATTTACATTTGGCCAGGTATTTTGGCATATACTTTTAATCTGGAGGCAGAGACACACATAAATCTGTGAGATTAAGGCCAACCTAGTCTACATATTGATTTCCAGATGAGCCAGGGATACATAATGAGATCCTGTCACAAAAAAAAAGAAGAACTCACATTTGGTTTGATATATGGTAATTTATGTATGCACTTGGAACTTTGGGAAATGGAGGTAGGAGAACCAGGAGGTCAGACCATTCTCAGGTACATAGCAAGTTTAAAATCAACCTGAATGGAAGGAAGAAAGGAAGGAAGGGAGGAAGGGAGGGAGGGAGGGAGGGATCCATAGTAGAAATACCATAAACAAAGTTACGGGGGGGGGAATTCTTGCAAATCATAATGTATAAAAAGGGACTTATATCCAAACTATACAAATAACTCTTGTAATTCAACAATAAGAAAAGATAATGCAATTATAAAATGGACAAAGGATCTTAACAGACACTTTTGCTAAAGACAGATGAAAAGACCCCCAACATAAAGACAAACAAGTCAAAACTACAGTGAAATCTCACTTCACACTCACTAGGATGGCTAGACAAAAAAAAGAAACAAATTGGGGAGAATATGGAGAAGACAGAACCCTTACACACTGTTGGTAGGACTGTGAAGTAGTATTAAATATGTCAAAAGATGAAACAGATCACCTAGCCATTATACTCACAGGTATATATGCAAGAGAAATCTAAATGTATGTTCGCACTTGGACAGATGTTCCCAGCTATATTCACAATAGTTGAGAATAAAAAACAACCACACTGTCCATCAATGAACTGATAATATATGGTATATATGACAATAAAGTAAAAACCTGCTATAACATAGATCAATAATGAATGCTAGTGGGTATAAAATTTCTTTTGGGGATGACTAAAATATTCTAAAGTTAGCTATAAGTATACTAAAAGTCCCATGAAGTGAGCTCTAAGTATACTAAAAGTCCCATGAAGTGTACATGAATATTTCAACAATATTGCTAAGAAGAATGGGGGATTACTGCCCTTTCTAGCATCCATGAGGTTTGATTCTATTTTCCAATTAGTCTCTTCTGGGCCTCTAACTTTATTTGGAATATTGGGGGAGGGGGCTGGTGGACAGATGGATCAGTGGTTAAGAGCACCGACTGCTCTACCAGAGGACTGGGGTTCAATTCCCAGCACCCACATGACAGCTAAATGTCTATAAATCTAAGATCTGACACTATAACACAAACATACATGCAAGCAAAACAGAAGTGCACATAAGATAAAGATAAATAAATCATGTTTTAAAAAAATAAATGGGTAGCTTCCACTAAGCTTATAATTAAGATTATTGAACACTGATAATTAACAGACATAAACACACAGAAAAAAAACATTTAACCAATATTCACACAGTTCTGGACTGCCTGCCTTTACTTCCTAGGCCCACATCTGCATTTCTGCTAAGGTTCCC